ATGTGGAAGAGCCCATAATATGCCTGAAATGCTGCAGATGGGGGCATAAATCCTGGAGATGTCAAAATGATCCACGATGTCGTTTCTGCGGAAAGTCTCACCTCTCTACTGTGTGTAGAAACAGACTGAATCTGGGTGAGAAAATAGTTCCCAGATGCTGCAACTGTGGAGGTGTTCACAATGCGAGCTCGGCTGTGTGTAGCAAGAGGCCGAGTATGGCTGTTCTCCGGCCGGTGAATGTTACAGAGCAAGCAAGAGCTCTTACCCAGACACCGGGAGCACAGCAAAACAGTCTGCCCCAAACAGTGCCAGTGAACCGGACGAATGCGTGGGTAAAGGAGTCACCTTTACTTAGGCAGGCTCCAGCAACAAGCAGCCACGCCACCACTCAGGACTCCGGCAGTGACAGTGTAACGGTGAGTGAAGTGGCTACTGTGGCTCAGAGAGAGGGTCATAATAATATGGTCAAGGAAGTGTGGGCTGAACTTAAAAAAGTTGGTGAGTTCCTCCAAAATCTGGGGCAGAGAATCGAGTCCATCGAGGCTAAATTAAACGTTCAGGAGGTCAAGGAAAATCACAAAACGGTGAAGGATAATCAGGATATAGTGGTTGAGGACAAAGATGAAATATTGAGTGATGAAATGAAGGAAAGTGAAGTGTGTGTGAATGATGGTAGTCGTAGTGAAAGGAAGAACCCTATAATTACACATAAAATGAAGGAATCATTTGGGCCAATAATGGACATCTCAGGGCTGAAAAAATCTCTTGAGAATCGCAATGTCGCTTTTACTGGTGAACTTGGGAGGAGGTGGGAGATGTTATACAAGGTATGGCTATCATTTAGTGAACTTATTGGGGATGACTTAGGCAATGAATTGATTAATAATGGATCACCCTAGACTGAAAGTGTTGTCATGGAATGTTAATGGTTTGAGAAACAGGGTTACAGATGTTCATTGTTATGTGATGGGAAATGATATTGATGTTGTAGCTCTCCAGGAGACAGGGGATAGGAATGAAGGATTATTGAAATTAAATGGCTATAAAGGGTTTCACCTCTTCGCTGCAAATAACATCAGAGGCACGTCGATTTATGTTAAGAACTCCATACCAGCAGAGTTAGTAGAACCGCCATCAAAAACGCAAGGTATAGAGAGTGTTTGTGTTAAATTATCATTAAGGGAAGGGGAATTTATTGTAGTTAATTTGTATGTATCCAGGAACTGCTTCGACGCTAACTATTTACCTGACTGCATTTATACTAATCCTTCACTGGTCATTGGGGACCTTAATGCTCGGCACACAAGCCTTGGGACAGTGGGTAGTATTAATGCTAATGGGGTCAAGTGGTTACAGTTTCTACAAGATCATCCAGATACCTGTCTATTGGGAAACAATGAACCAACTCACATCAAGGGAGGACGGCTTGACTATGCCTGCGTTTTAAACTCTCAGGGGATTATGGGGGAGGCTCGGGTTGTTCGGGAACTACTTAGTGACCACTTTGCCTTGAACGTTGAATTACCACTGGGGAAAAAACAAGTCCACTTTCAAAGGAAAAGGCTAAATATTAAGAAAGATATGAAAAATTATTTTATTCAAAATATGGGAGATTGGTATCAACATTACACGCCGCTCTGCGTTGATAGTTTTTACGAGGACATGGTCGTGAACATAGAGAAATTAGTACAGAGGGAAAATAACGGGGGCAGGGGAAGCAAGACGCACGGACCTAAGAAATTTAAATATTCCAATGATCAGCAAGTCAAGGGATGGGAGAGAATGCTACGGGGTGCGCATAAAGCATGGTTAAAAAATGGAAGGAGGGATGAAGAGAAAAATACAATGTTGGAAGTGGCTAGGGAATGCAGTCAGGTGAGGAAGGAGGCGCGGGACAGATACTGGCAAGACTTTGCTCAGGCCATTGGTAATACTAAGAACCTTAAAGACATATGGAGAGCAGTAAATAAAGTCAGGGGTTGTAAGACTAAATTCATTGCTCACTCAGATCCAGGGAAAGTTGCTAATGAGTTAGTAGATAAATGGGCAAGTGCTGCTGGTATGGAGTCCTTACCTGCAGACACGAGAGTCACCATTGAGTCATGGGAAAATATTAGAAATGGAGTAACTTTATGTGCCTTAAATACAAGATCTATAGCATGCACTGAGATAACCCACGATGAGCTACTGGATGCTATAAAAAGTGGCAGCTCCACTGCTCCGGGAAAAGATGGAGTAACGTATGACATACTTAATTATTTAGCCGGTATGAAACCTAATCCCTTACTTGATTTGTTTAATATGAGTTATAGAGAGGGAAAGTTACCAAGAAAATGGAAAGAGGCTGTCATCATTCCTATCCCTAAGTCAAACGGAGGCTACAGACCTGTCTCCTTAATATCCTGCTTTTGTAAAATGATGGAAAGGATTTTGTTAAATAGGCTACTCTACCTTGTAGGTGATAACATGTCCAATAATCTCTTTGGTTTTATCAAAGGCAAAAGTACTGCGGATTGTCTCTTAAAGTGTTTGTCTAATGTAGATGACAATTGTAGAGTTTTTGTTGATCTACAAGGAGCGTTTGATAAAGCCAATGGGGAAGTAATCTTATACGAATTAGCCAATCTGGGAATAACAGGGAGATTGCTACACTGGATAAGGGATTACCTGCAAGGCAGAAAAGGTCAGGTGTATTACCAGGGATACATGTCTGAGGAACGGAGGTTTCAGTTAGGTACCCCACAAGGGGGAGTATTAAGTCCCACCTTATTCAATGTATTAATGAACAGATTAGCATCAGAGATGTATCCTCCAGGGGTCACGACGATCATATATGCTGATGACATTCTTATACAAGGCACTTCTGGGAACAAAATTCAAGATGCTCTTAACATACTTGGTACAACCTGTCACAAGTTAGGCTTAGTTATAAATGCAGATAAAACCAAATACGAGTATAGGAAACGAAGAAATATAACACTTACTCTAAATGGTGTGGAACTGAGCCGTGTACAGAAGTACAAGTATCTGGGCATGTATGTTGGATACACATGTGAGAGTAAAAATGCTGAAATAAATCATATCAGCACCTTATGTAAAGCCCGTCTGCATCCTCTAAAAGCACTGGCTTTTTCTGGTAAAGGTGTTGGGGTACCTATCTTGCGGATGTTATACATAAGCACTGTTCGATCCCTGATAGACTACGCAGCACCCGTATTGTCTTACACAGGCCAAGGCAGAATTCAAAAAATAGAGCTGATACAGAACGAGGCTATGAGGATTATTCTTGGATGTCAAAGAAATGCAATGATTGAAATAATGAGAATGGAATTAAATTTACAGAGTGTGTGTGATAGAGTCCGTGACATTAACACTAGAGTATCTATTCGTTTCATGCGGAGAAAAGGAGGGGATAAGCTGTTTGAGAGCGTTCAGACCTGCTTGAGTGACGTACACACTTCCAGGAAACTGAGGGAGACTCGCTATACGAGAGGATTAGCTCATGACCTCAGGGAATACGACGTACTTGACTGCTGTAAACCCTCTCGAAAGTGTAATATGTCTGCTCCCTGGAAAGTACAGAAAATAGACGTCGAAATTGTACCCCTCAAGGTGAAAAAGATTCATCATGAACCGGGACAATTACGGTGTTTGTATGGAAGCATGATATCTCGGTTACCAAGAGGCAACAGTTTACATGTATATTGCGACGGGTCGGTGGCGGAGGATGGCAGGGCAGGGTGTGGTGTCCTAATAAGGGATTATACGGAGTTTGGGACTGTGGACAGGATAATTGAACTCCGGCTTAGTAATTATATATCATCCACACAAGCTGAACTGCAGGCCATTCTGGCGTGTTTGGAGGAAGTACGTCATGACGACAAAAATGTTTTTGTATTTGTCGATAGCCGAGGAGCACTGGAGTCCTTAAACAGTAGAAACCCAGTCTTCATGTCTATAGTGGAGGACTGTAAGAGAAGAATAACTGAGATACAGCTGAAAGGTTATAGTGTGAAATTCATGTGGATTCCATCTCATGTTGGAATAGTGCTTAACGAGGTGGCGGATGACTTGGCCAAACGTGCCACATCAAAACCACAAGTTGACATCGAATGTGAATTCACAATGAGACAAATAAGAAGCAAAATCAGAAATATTCAGGCACAGGCGGGAGTGGAGAGGAGAGAGATAATGTATGAGAGTAGTCAAACCATGCAACACTACATGTATGTGAGTCAAAACACCCATTTCACTTATGGTAAAAGGAGAAATGCTTGGAGTGACTCTGTGTACATGCGGCTCAGGCTTGGGTACAAATATTACTGGGAATATGGGATAGATGTTCATGGTAATGACACGAAGTGTAAACTATGTGGTATGTTAAGGTCTCACACCCTTGCCCATTATATTCTTGATTGTCCGTTGATTAGTGTATATAGAAACACTGAGATAAGGACTGTTCCTGAACAAATAGCCTGGATGTGTCACAACGGAAAGGTTGATGATATTCTTGAGAGATATAAGAATTTTGCACCAAGATTGTAATATTTTGTTGAATTATCTGCAGGTGTCTTGCAAATTGTCTATACAGTATACCTAGGTCATAAAAGTATTTGTGTGTACGTCTGATACCATACTACTTGTGAGGGAGGAAATGTATATGTTTACCTCTCAGAATGTTTGGTAATATGTTTATTTGTGATGTGTGTATATGTATATATTAACACGTTGTACTGAACGGGGTGAGAATAGCTTGAGCTACCTCATCCCTTTGTGTGTATTTTACCTCAATAAACTTATTTCAATTTCAATTTCAATTCAATCTGCATTTGGGTTTCGTTGTGCATTTCCTTTGTCTCCTTGAACTGTGGTTGTATTTTTTAAATGGTTGTATAATTTAGGTGATTGTATTGCAAAGATATCTATGGTTTACTTTTCTTTTTTGTAATGTCTGTTTTTCAATATGCTATACAATTAATAGAAAATGTTTGTTTTAATAGGTGATTGTTCAAGGTTTGAAACACAGTCCTTAAATGAACAGCTTAACCAACTTAGTGCTGCTGTTAATCAACTTGTTGAAGAACGTGCACAGCCTAAAGAAAACAACTTACAGTCACAGCTAGAAGAACTTAAAGAAAAGTGCTCCAGGTATGAGAAATATCATAGATTAAGCTCATCTATTTTACTATCTAAGTGTCATTAATTTTATCCTCCTGGTCTATTGGTGAGGCCTTCAATTTAACAGCCTGTCTAGTAAAGCTTCTGCTTGTCACTTGCATCTAAATGTAGCCAATACTATAACATCAAAATTAGTATGTTTCATCATCTGAGCCTGATTAGGATGATTTTATTTTAGTTTAAGAATTTACATTAGAGCAATACCTAGTTACTTTGTAAAATGCAAATGAATGGAGATAGATGAATCTTATTTACAAAACTTGGTACTTAACCCTTAAACATTAGCTCACTTCACAAGTTTGATGGTTCCCAAGACAATCATGGTTGTGGCACATGATTGCATCTTTGATGTCAAATTATTCAAATAATGTCCATACAGTATGTCATACCATTGGCCAGGAGGTAGATTCATCCCTTTGTGTCATGATGCCAGATGAATGTTCCTTGGCCTCCAAAAGTTAACTGTATTCACAGTTGATGTGGAAATTGGACCCATGCAAAATACACCAGTCTTTGATTTTATTTAATCATTTTGGTATTAAAATAATCAATTGCAATGATCATTGGAATTGAAAATAAGGTACATAGGTATAAAGTAGAGATGGCAAGAGTGATGGTGGTGGTAGTAGGCCACCCTGGCATCCCCCACACATCTGCTTTTAGTTTGCCTTAGATTAAAACATTTTATGCCAACTGTTTAGTGTTGAGTGTGTGTGTGTCTTAAACAAGTACAACTCACCAGGAACATTTTAACAGCTCCTTGTTGCACTGGTGCAAATGTCAACCTACCCTGATTGCTTATGGGACCATGTACTGTATTACGTAGTTGATGAGGCTATAATTCTGCTTGACGTTTCATGGATTCTTTTAACAAAAAATATTATGTCGGTTTATTTTGACATTTTTAGATTGGAAGGAGAAAAGGCGTCACTGGAAAGAATAATTCAAAGTGATTTTGTGAAGACTAAAAAGGCTCCTGATAGGGACAAAAGTTCTGAGAGTAACTCCAGTGAACCCAGCAGTAAGAAATCAAAGCAGATGCCCCATCAACCCACCAAATCTTCATTGGAAGCAATAGATGAGCTAATTGCAGCTTTAGGTCATCTTCCACCTTCAGCTGAAGAAATTATTGCTAAACTCAAGAGTCAAGTAAATTTCTTGATTCAAGTAAGTTGTGAAGGGTGATAAGAGTTCTCTCAACTACATAAATAATACTACTGTATACCAAAAAATATAATTGTTTATGTATTGTTGTTCAAGTAGCAGTGTGAGGCAAATTGGAGAGCACTTGTGTGCGTGGTCAAGCACGTGTATGTAATAACCTGTTGCCAAAGCTCTGCATCATACACTGTTGAATAATGTCATGTTTTCTTAGAGTATTTGGAGGCATCTAAATACACTGCATCTAAGGAAGTACAGAATTGATTGTGAAGGAAAGATATATTAATAAATAAAGCTCATCTGTCAAATGATGAATACAAAAATGTATATTTAATGGTAATATGTCCATGTTAGGAGTTTCAATAGTGAGTTAATGATAAGAGAAATAATATACAGCATTGTTAAGTTTAGTACAAGTTAATGACCTAAAATGTGTAATTGTTTTTATATTGGTGTGCTGCTTTATTGTTAGTATTATTCTTTTCTCCAAGGAGTGCAGTAGAAGAGAAGAGGAGATCAGTGACAGAGAGAGAACGTCTCTTATATACAATAATCAGTTTGAAAGTCTTCGGACCCAAGTATCGGATCTTAATGCAGTGGTATGTAAAGTATTGTGATTTTTAACCTGTTTTTGTGTTTGTGTGAATAGTTTCCTTGTAGTGTGAGAACATTTCATTATGAGGTGTTCTCACAATATGAAGTAAACTTTCCAGTATGAATACTTTATGGTTATATCTTTTTCTTATTTTTCAATCTTTGTACCCTAAACAAATATTTTCAGATTCTACTTTAATTCTACAAATGAGATGGTAGAGGTACTGGGACTTAAAATAGAGAAAATAAACTTGGTTATTATTCTCATATACAAACTGCCAGGTGCAACGGCTGAGGAATTCACGGAACAGATAAACAAAATAGAGAATGGCCTTGAAGATTTACAAACACAGTGCCAGATATTATCTTCCTAGGAAACTTCAACTTGTCAAGTCTAAGATGGAGAATATCAAACAATAATATTATACCAGGAAATCTATCAGAAAATAAACAACCATAGGTCAGATAACTACTTTGATTATGTGATAAATTTTTGCTCAACCAGCAGATAACAGAGCCAACTAGGACCAAAAATGTTCTAGATCTGATCATGATAATCAATGAAGAAATAATCAGGACATCACAATCTCAGATTCCACATACTGTATTCAGATCACAAACTCATTTATGTGCAGACAAACATAAATGCTTGTAATGGGTTTAAAAAAAAATTCACGCGAGATTACTTATTCAATAAATTAAATTTTAATAATAAAAGGATAAATTGAAAAAAAAATAAACAGGATGTTACGAACATTCAGTGGGAAATTGCACAGAGAGATCACACTAACGTGATGCATCAAATGAACAAATCCACAAATTCGGTTTCAACTCTTTTACCCTGTCGTACCTCAGTCGATTAAGGCAGTGTCTGGGATGCTCCCGGACGCAGGTTCGAATCCTCGTCACGGCCCTTGTGGATTTGTTCATTCAATGGGAAACCGATCTAAGTAATAAAAATACCATGGAAGGAATAGAACTACTGACTGTCGAAGCATTTAAAGTCTGTCTGAAACTCGTTTCTTTGTAGAAAGCCAGAAAGAGCAGCAGCTTAAAAAAGAGAATGCAGATGGCACTACAGAAGAAGGAAAAAATAATGGAAATGCTTAAACAGCCATGACTGTCCTTACAAAGAAAGAATAATTTAAATGGGGATTGAAAAAATAGAACGGAGACTGATGCAATCACATTAGAAAGAAGAAATGCAGTTTGAACAGAAAGCCATATAAGAGAGAAAGAAAAATCCAAAATATTTGTTTACACATTACAGATCCAAACAAATTTTCGACCGAACAAGTGGATAGAACTCCCCAAACAGAAACAATGAAACGAGCATGACATCACAGGTCGCTGCGCTGCTGTCTGCGCAGCTTCCCCCTCCCCTTGAAGGAGAAGGGGAAGCCACAGACCCCCGCGCCAGCAATCCAGACCAAAGTTCTGAGGCCTATGCTATAGGCAGAGATCGTGTGCTCTGGCTCCAGTGATTGTTTCAGCTCTGTGCCTTGTGTGTGGTGAATGTCCTCTAGATGGTGCACGAGCCAGGAGATTTTCTTCAGTACTTGGGCTGCATGCGCCTAGGGTTCCCTTCCCTAGGTGCCCGGTAAGTACTGCCCTTGGGGCCACCTTCCATGAGTTCCTTGGGTTCTGACTCTGCTGGTAGTTGCTCAGTTTTTGGCCGCCCTTTGTGTGCTTGGATGTTTTGTCTCCCTTGTTTATCTTAGGGTAGAAGGCAGTTTGCTCTTATAAGGGATGCAGGGTACTGCGCAGCTTGTTTTCACCATTCATAGTGGCCGGCTCTGTTCCGCCTGGGTACGCTGTCCTCTTGTGGGGTTTTCTTTTTCTTTTGTTTCCCTACCTGGGGGGGGGGGGGGGGAAGAGGAAGAGGGGGAGGGAAGAGGAAGTTTCTTCAAGAGGAAACTAGATTTATTCCTCCAAGGAGTGCCGGACCAACCGGGCTGTGGTGGGTATGTGGGCCTGCGGGCCGCTCCAAGCAACAGCCTAGTGGACCAAACTCTCACAAGTCAAGCCTGGCCTCGGGCCGGGCTTGGGGAGTAGAAGAACTCCCAGAACCCCATCAACCAGGTATCAACCAGGGGGGCTGCCTTGGTTGTTGCTCCCTGTGTACAAGTACTGGGTACTGTTTTCTCTTTAGGTGGTACCCCCCTGCTAGGTCCCCGTGAGTGTACACGTTCCGGGGGTTCAGTTATTAGAAAATTGTCTCCACTTCGAGTTGAGGAGTGAGCAGCGACCGCCTCCCGGGTAAGTCCCTCTGGTTTTCATCTTTTAGTAGGTAGCTTCGGGGAGCCGACGGGGCTTCCCCCAGGAAACCAGCGTTGAATGTAATGAAACCCATTTTCTGGGCGAGACCCGGAGGCTCCCCAGCAACCCTCCCTCTCCCTGGCCTGCGTTTTTTTGCGTTTTTTGATATGCAGCCTCAGAAATGGGTTGTGGATTCCTGGCGTGGGGGTCTGGGGCTCCCCCTTTTCCCTCCCGGGGAGGGGGAAGCTGTGCAGACAGCAGCGCGGCGACATGTGATGTCATGCTCATTTGCTCGTTTCTGTTTGGGGAGTTCTATCCACTTGTTCGGCTTTTTGGAGCAGTTTTCACCAGAATAGGGGTTTGCTTTGGGACGCTTACCTTTCTGGGTGCCTGACCCAGTCGATGACAGACACAGGATGCTTCCAACCACATGGGGGTTTCTATAGGCCATTGCTCCTTATGCCTCTCTGAGGGGGCCAGGTTCTGGCTCGTGGTCCCCGGTAGGCCCACAGAACTCCATACACATGACTGATGCCAAAGTCTAACATTAGCATAGCCTGGATAGCTCTGGGGAGCCTCCGGGTCTCGCCCAGAAAATGTCGTTTCATTACATTCAACGCTGTTTTTTTTATGAATTTTATGAATGCTCAGCTCAGTTCATGCTCAACAGAGCTTAGCATTCCACTCTAATTGATATTCCAGACATTCTTGTGCACCGGAATCTTATCAGATATGTGAAAAAAAGTAAACATAGTTCCATTCTACAGAAATGGTAGTAGAGAAGACCCTCTAAATTCTAGACTTGTATTATTAACAAACATGGTAGTTGAAACACTGGAAAAAAGTTAAAACCAAATGGGTAGAACACCTGGATAGTAATGACATAACAATGGACAGGCAGTATGGTTTTTGAACAGGAAGATCCTATGTAACAAATCTACTTAGTTTTTATGATAGAGCCACAGAGATTCTACAGATAGGAGATGGTTGCATTGACTGTGTCTGTCTGGACCTAAAAATGGCTTTTGACAGAGTCCCATACAAGTATTTGTTTTGGAAACTGAAACGTGCTGCAGGGTATGACAGGGAGACTTCTGACTTGAATGAAAAAATTTCTCACTGATAGAAAATGAGGGCGGTAATCAGAGGCAATGTATCTGACTGGAGGAATGTTACTAGCAGAGTCCCGCAGGGTTCAGTTCTTGCACCAGTAATGTTCATCATCTACACAAACGATCCATCGAAGGAATACAAAATTATATGAGCATGTTTGTGGATGATGCTAAGATACTGGGAAAGATAGGAGACGTAGACGATTGTCATTTCCTTCAAATTGATCTAGATAAAATAAGTGCTTGGAGCACACAGTGACAAATGAAATTAAATGTGAAAAATGCCATGTTAGGGAATGTGGAATCAGAGAAAATAGACCTCAGAACTTATAAGTTATGTGAAAAGGAATTAAAGAACTCTAACAAAAAATGAGATTTAGGGGTGGTTTTGGATAGTAGACTGTCACCAGAGGAACACATAAAGAACATTGTGCGAGGCGCATATGCTGCACTTTCCAACTTCAGAATCACTTTTAATTACATGGATGGTGAAATACTAAAGAAAATGTTCATGACTTGTGAGGTCAAAATTGGAATATGCAGCAGTTGTATGGTGCCCATATCTAAAGAAGAACCTCAGTAAACTAGAAAAGGTGCAAAGACTAGAAAATGTGCAGAATAGCCACATTAAAAAGTAGAGATGCAATAGGCATGATGAAAAAGATCAACATCAGAGGCCCAAGACAAGGCATAACTGGCCAACCACTTGCAATGTTCGAAAGTGTACTTGATAAACACCTTCAAAGGATACCTGATCAACCAGGCTGTGACTCATATGTCAGGCTGTGAACAGCCTTGATCAGACCACCCACCAGTAGGCCTGGTTAGAGACTGGGGCTGTGGAGACATTAATTGTTTGAATAATCAACATGTATTTGATAGGTATTGGTCAACCTAACATACACAGCTGGTAACCATTTGATTGTAGTTTCAGTAGACAGGTTCAGTGTAATACAATTTTCAGGTCTTCTTAATTTGATTTTTAAAAAGATTTCATTCCCAATTAGTATTTGTGTTATCTGCACCCAGTTTCATTACTTTGCACTTGCTAGAGTTAAACTCTAATCATTTGTTGGACCATTCTTTCAGTTTATCCTGGTTATCTTGTAGTTTACCATCCTTTGAATTAGTCCTCATGATTTTTGCATCATCAGGAAACAGCATTGAGAGGAATGAATCTCCTCACTCTCACCCTTGTCACCTGTATTAAGCCTTCAGATTTGTTTACCTTGTCTGAGGTCAGCACTCCTATCCTTGGTTCAGAGTCTCTGTTAGCTCCCAGAAGTCTCAGCCTGCTTCTTTAGTGGCTTTCTTGTATGTTGACCAGCTCCTTTTGTGAGGTCAGAAATACTGTAGAGTTGAGTGTAATAAAATGCTCCTTTCTGCTCCCTTCACATACGCTTCCCTTTTCCTACCTCGTCTCTTCCCTCTTTCTCAAAGCTATACATTACTCTTTGGTCAGGCATGGACCTTTCTGCCACCTGGTGGCAGATGGGAGGAGTCGGGGGGATAGCCTGTTTATTAGTTGCCAGTATAGTTTTAGTTATTCTGCTCATTCCAAAACATTTGTTGGATGGAGCTAAAGTATCTTGTGGCCTGCTTTCTTTACATTTATGGGATTATTGCCTCAGTAGTGAGTTTATTTCTGGTTCTCATGTGTTCCTCACCTTTTAGAGCAAGAGGTGGGGACCATGTAAAGGTACAGCATATAGACCCTTGTCCAAAGTAGGCAAAAAGTACCTTGTCCACCCACATGGTGTGAGTGAGTCTGAGCATTAATGTTCATTACTAAAGCAAAGAGAATCTACTGAGGCAAGTCCCAGAAAAGGGCATTTCATTACATGTTACACTACAGTATTGTTGTTTATTTTACTTCAATTAAATATACGGTATTTGTATTTCATCTGGGTGTTGCAGATTTCAGATAACTTTGTGTATGTTGCAGCTTGCTGGTGAGCAGGAGAAGTGGTTATCAGACAAAAGGGAACTAGAAAAGAAAGCGTCTCTTCTTGAGGATGAAGTAGCAGTTTTGAAAGCACAAACGGAAGAGTTACAATTAACTCTTGGCACAATTTCTTCTAGTCGCTCGGATGTGGATGAAAAGGTAAAGGTTTTGTAAAATATAAATTACATTACTATTAAAATTGCTATAGAGTTTAGTTGCTGTTGTATTCTTGGATAACAGTTTGTCAAATTGATTCCTTTAATTAGATACAAATTATAAGTTTCATAAATTTATTCCAGAGTGGCCAATGCAAAGCCTCTGGGTTAGACTTAGTACAAATTTTTAATCCATTTAGGTTTCAGAAAGAAGCCGATATGTGATTTGTACTGGAAACAACTCGACTCATTTTTATTGCTTCACAAATTTTAATCTAGAATGATGTTAAGTGTTCACTAGTCTGCAAGAGCTTTGTTACTTATACATGTATGGTTAGGTGATCTGTAAAGTGTGTGGAATTGCACTGAATATTTGGGAAAGTTTATTTCCCAATCTTTCATTGACAATCTTTCAAGTTTATGCACGTGTAACTGTTTATTGGTGTGTAATTACCTAAGTGTAGTTTCAGGATGAGAGCTACGCTCGTGGTGTCCTGAAAGTACTCTTTCTCGTATAACACTTTGAAACTACTGACGGTTTTGGCCTCCACCACCTTCTCACTTAATTTGTTCCAACCGTCTACCGCTCTGTTTGCAAAAAAACTTTCTAATATTTTTTCAGCATCTTTGTTTCCTTGGCTTGAATCTGTGTCCTCTTGTTCGTGACATTGCTGTTTCAGGCATTCCTCTTTGTCAATTTGGTTGATTCCTGATAGTATTTTATAAATGGTGATCATATCACCTCTCTTCTAGTTTTGGCATGTTTAACGCCTCTATCTCTCCTCGTAACTTGTTTTTCAGTTCTGGTAGTATGCTGTTGCACCTTTTCCAGTTTATTTATGTGCTTCTTGAGATTTGGGCACCATACAACTGCTGCATATTTCAATTTTGGTTTCACCAAAGTCATGAATGATTTCTTTAATATTTCACCATCCATATAATTAAAAGAAAATCTGAAGTTGGAAAGTGACGCACACACTCCTCTGACAATATTCCTTATGTGTTCCTCTGGCAACAGCTTACTATCCAAAACCACCCCCTAAGTCTTGTTCTTTATTAAAGTTCTGTAATTCCTCTCCACATAATTTGTAAGTTGTGTGTGGTCTGTTTTCTCTGACTCTACATTCAATAACATGGCATTTATTCACATTGAATTCCATTTGTCACTTGTCGCTCCAAGCATTTATTTAATTTAGATTAATTTGAAGGGCATTACAATTGAGTGCGTCTCTTATCTTCCTCAGTATCTTAGCATCATTCACAGACATGCTCATATAATTCTGTATACCTTCTGGTAGATCGTTTATGTAGATGATGAACATTACTGGTGCAAAAACTGAACCCTGTGGTACTCCGCTAGTAACACTCCTCCGGTCAGATACATTGCCTCTGATTACTGCCCTTATCTGTCTGTCTGTCAGAAAATTTTTCATCTATGTCAGAAGTCTCCCTGTCACCCCTACATCATGTTCCAATTTCCAGAACAGCTTCTTGTGTGGGACTCTTATCAAAACCCTTTTCTGAGGGAAGCCTCGTCAGTTCCCTGCAGCTGACTGACTGATATTCGCTATATTAGCCAAGAGCATCAGTTACTTGGAGTTCTTGCCTACTGGAAACAACGAGCCAGAATCTGGTTTCCTTAGAGAGGTGCAGGGAGCAATTGCTTATGAACACTTCATTTTTTGACAGAATAGCCATGTCTTACATTGACCGGGGGTATCACCCAGAAAGGTATGCGAACCATTACAAATCTCTTCTGGTAAAACATTGCAAACCAAGACCAAACGGAGCCCATGAACTCCCCCCCTCCCCCCTCCAAGTGGAAACAACAAACAAGCAAGTGTCCAATCAATTAGCATGCCTGCTTGTTAGCGACCCTCCCAGGCGGCCCAGTGGTTGACACCGGTAGTTCATTGACTGATGTCGTATAGAGGAGACGTTACCTCTGGCCTCATTCTCCTGTCTGGATTTTGCTCTGTGTGGTTGTGCCAGCTGTGTGGGCACAGCCTATACCTAGGCACCCAGTAGATACTGCCCTTGTGTGTTCAGGGTTTTCTTCCCTGGGATGTCTGGGATTTCACTCACATTGAGGTTCGTGTCACTTGTCATTTACCTCACCATTGGGGTTCGGCGGGGGTTGTGGGGCTCTCCTCCTGGTCCTGGGTAGGGAGTGTTTTTGTTGCTGGTTGGGGCGCACAGTGTTAGCGTAGCTTGCATAATTGCAGCGGCTGTGGCACTCTCTGGCCTCCGGTTGTTTTAGGTGTATTTTTGAGGGTTTCAGATTTTTCTTTTTCTTTTCCTGGAGGAGGAGGTCTGCACAGCTTCCAATTAGGTTCGCCTAGGTTATGTTTGGTGGTCTTCCTCTGGGCCCCCCGAGGTTTGCTCGCACGGCTTCCTAGGGTTAGATTGCTCGGTATTAGATAGGGTTCAACTGGCTTAAGTTAAACCTGTGCCTGGGCTCCTCGTCAGGATTCTTCCTCCTGCGGGTCCCAGTAAACCCCTTAGGGTTCGGAGCTGCTTTGGAGATATCTTCTGAGTCCCCTCTTGCTTTGTGGGAGTTTGAGGGTTTACGTTGCCCTTATCTTGGGGTGGCGATCATCTGTTCTGCCTCTGTCATGCTGCCTGTTGGGTCGGTGACACCTACAATCTGGAGTTGTGCAGGACCTGTTTCCCGCTTGTCCTCCAACTTACCCATGCTTCTTCGGAAGAGGGGTCAGGCAGTGGCTGCCTTGCAGGATAGGTATTTATTGTTGCATTGTTGCGACTAGGGCTGATGCAACTCGTGTGGAGCTATCTCGGTGAGCTTCAGAGTGCTATTGAGGTCTAACTAGAAAGCGTTTCATTACATTCCATGCGGATTTTGTTGTTTCCAGAGCCACAAATTTACATTAGGCAGGTGTATCATATAGCATCACATGTAGTGCATTCGAGTTGTCGGTTTCTGTATTGTTGTGTCCAGTGCTTGTTTTGTGTGATTAACCATAAATAAAACACAAATGCATCTTGGGCTGTGTTCAAATGAGTTTATATAAAGCCACATACACAATTTGAATTAAAAGGTTTTACATTAGATTTTGTTGTTTTTCAGCTATCAAGGAGATCAGCTGAACTACGGTATGATTTAGAAATTTCCAAACAACTTATTAGAAACCAAAGGCGTGATATAAGCTCCCTTCATGAGCAGCTGAAGGATAGACTTGAAGCACTTCATGAGAGCTTACTTCAGGAAAAGCGGGTTAGTTGCAAATTGTGGGTTTTGTCTTGCAGATTAAAATAGTTAATGTTTTAATTTCTGACATTCTTAGATGTTTTCATTATATTTAATTCATATTTTTATTATATTTACATAATGCTTAAATGAAACTTTAAATAACTCTAAAAAATATTTCATAATGCTTTAATCTGGAGTTTTATCATATGACTAAAGTTAAAATTGTTGATGGTTTCCTTGACCACAGAATGCTCATATTTCTCTCCCTGGTCACCATTTTCTTTTGTTCCCTTGTACCTTGTTCCATTTGTTTTCTTTATGATATGCTTGTACTGTAGATATTTATGTACTGGCTCACTGAGGAGTTTCCTGAGAATCAAGACAAGAATCTGGCTCTGTTGAAGATGCGTGGGGGGAACATTCGGGGATCAAAGGTCTACCAACAACCCAAATAAACCACACAAAGTTAAAGGCATACTAAACAACTGCTCTGTAAGATGGAGAATGAAATGAGGGGAACAAAATACAACAAATACCATAACTACAACTACCATGACAGCCTTCATCACTGCTGAACAACCACAACTACTGTACACATTTTAACACCAGATCAACCACAATTGCCATTTCAACCATATGACCACTTCAGTCATACTCATTATAAGAACAACCATAACTATACACCACTAAACTGAAAACCACTATAGTAGACAATATGAAATTCCCCCTACAATCACAATCACTATAATATCAACTACTAGCAACCACCACTGTAATCATAACCCCTATTACAACCACCATCTCCACTACACCCACAACTAATACAAACATTGCAACTAGGGAAGCACAGCCATTATTGCCACAACCACAACCTTCACCCCATCCTTCCAGCCCCACAACCTTCAGCTACTTACTTCCCCTCCCATCAGTTTCTGCATTACCCATTCACCATCATCAGCAATCCCTCCCCCCCACCCCTACATGACCACAATCACAATCACTACCACCACCATCACTTCATCCTCCTCCTCCCAGTATTCACTGTATCCAATAAAGCACTCTTATTCTAATTTTTTTTTTTTTAGTTTTGCCCGTGGGGCGAGTTTATTGGGCAGCATCACTCATCCTGTTAGTAGTCATGCTGCCATAGCAGCAACAATGATTAGCAGTAACAATGATTGTGCTGATTACAGCACAATATTTATGACCACGTCCTTAATAGATGTGCCCAGAGATACAGCTCTTAATTGTCCTTGATCCAAACATATTTACAGGTATACATTACATGCTGTATTACCAAACTTGTTTGAGAGAATATTTACTGGCAGAGTTTGGATGGTGACCAGCTGTAACTTCCTGTACCACCCCAGACTTTGCAGCACATTAGCACATCATAATTTATAAATAATATACAGATTTCTGATGGTGCCGGACTGGAATGTTTGGGGGTCTTCAGATTTGATTGTTTATGAATTACTTATTTTGTTCAGCTTTTGGCGGCTTAAATGTTAACAGAGGAACTGTCAGAATTCTGTAGACATGAGATTCCTTGAGTCTCATGAATTGAGACATATGAATTCTTTATTTTCTTAGCTCAAGCATGAAAAGCAACATGAACAGCAGATTCTGAAACATAGGATTCATAAACTTGAAGGAGAGTTGAGTCAGAGTGTTCCAAGAACTGCAGCAGATCAAACATCTGGACATTTGGCTGCCATCACAGCCAAATATCGTTCTCTTTTGCAAGCTCAGTCCCTCATGGTGAGTGGAAAATAATTTATTTATTGCTGCTCCTCTCTGAGAAAGATTCCTGTAAGTTTTGCTCATGCGGACAACCACAGTTTTCTATGAAATTTGTTAAAATATTTGTGGTTTTAAGAAGTATTTTAGTTAAAATTTGTTTTAAATTTTCTTCATGGTTATTAATAGACTTTTAAATAAAATTACCAGGAGAATTCATTGATACTATACATGATTTTAAATAAGATTTATAAAACATGTATCATAATTATGTGTCTAGTGTTTTCAACTTTGCCATTTATAAATAAAAAAAATGGTAAAAAAATATAAGGTTGGTTTCTGGGAGGGGCCCCTTAGTAGCTTCCTGTGGTAAAGCTCACTCTGATAAAGCCAAGCTTTGAGAAGTGCATCAAGCCTCTCGAGATCCTCACTGGTCTACTGGGAGCCAAGACCAGAATTTGGTTGTACAAGGCAAGGAAAGCATGGGTGGTTAGAGGTGGACCCCAAACTAAGAAACACCCACTAAAAATTTAAGGCAAATGGAAATAATCTGAGGTAAACTTGGTAAGCAAGTGTTGCCTATGGCAAACACCACCAGCCTTGTGCAGGCGATGAGTCGCAATAACATGGCTGAAGTATGTTGACCAGACCACACACTAGAAAGTGAAGGGACAACAATGTTTCGGTCGTCCCACAACCTTTAGCTACTTACGATCTGTCTTGGACCATTCTCAAGTCGATTGTGATCGACTTGAGAATGGTCCAGGACAGACCGAAACGTTGTCGTCCCTTCACTTTCTAGTGTGTGGTCTGGTCAACACCACCAGCCTTGATGCATCTGGCTGCTACCAGATGATGACTCGGGTCACTCTGAGTCTTGGGCAGCCAGCCATCTTCCTACTTGCTTGGTGCAAGTTGAGAGTGCACCACTCTGCTATGATTCTGCAGATTGCTCTTATTTCAACTACTGTATTGTAATTTGTATTAGCCATCTCACGAGCATTAGTTATACAAGTTATAGCCGTTAGTTATACTGTATTAGTTATAGCCACTGCTTTATTTTGGTTTTATTAATGTTTTGCTATTGTATTTAATTTCACCTACAATGTGTGTTCCCTGTGTACTATTTCACTCCATCTATATGCTAGGGTTACCTTTCATGGTAGCTGGCTTATGTTTTCTCTGCCTCACCAGAGTTATTTGGTCTAAACAGTTAGTTGCTTATCTGCGAATTGGCTCCTTTAAAGTCATCTTTCTTCCAGGTAGTATGTGGGATGGGCTCTCTTCATTAAGTCCTGTTGTTGGGAGTTGATGTAGTTAACTGTGTGCTCGTGTGTAATTAACCACTGCCCTGATTCATTTGCTTTTTGGTGCCTTATGCTTTGGCCAAGTATATGCTTAGATTGCTCAAGAGATTATTGCATTCCTTCCCTTGCTAGGCTAATGAGGTTGGGGTTATGTGTGAAATTTGCCAACACTTCCCTTGCACCTAGCACATTTGACTGTTTATGAAATGCCCCATGCAGCGAGTATCTGTGGTGTGGGGGGATCTGTTCACCTTTTGTTCTCAGTTCGCTGGGAGATGAGAGATTCCTCACCCGATTCTGGGATGGAGTATGCTGCTTGCAGCTTTACAAGTTGCAATTTAGGAGTTTTTTAGTGCCACTGGTTCATCATATGGTTACTAGTTTCCTTTCAATCATCTGCTTGCTTTGATACACTGAAACTCTGCAGTGGGTGTTTTCTAGGTTTTGAGTTCATCTCTGGTCCCCTAGGCTTGCTCATCTTGTATAGATGGCTAGATTTTGGTCCTGGCTTCCAGTAGTCTGAGTCTCGGAGGCCTGATGTGATTCCCAAAGGCTTTGCAGTCCAAGTAGCTTGGGAAGCTACCGAGTGTTCCAACAGAATAATACCCTTCATTACTTAGAATGCTTAATTTTTTGTGATTTAGGAACCTAACCCACATAAATACCATTCTGCCTGTGGGAAAGAAGTTTCTGTGCACTGAGCAACCATTTTTGGAACAGTTCTTGACCCTTAAATTGTGGCCTACATTGATTGACATATTATGGGGCATTCTGAAGTCAATATGAATTACATCTATTGGCACTTTTCATTATAGAAACGCAAGAGAATTGGGTTCTAATCATTAATACTAATAATTATAAAGATTTTACATTTCTTTGGCTGTAATTATCTACTAAAAAGATTAACCTTGTTATTACATATACAGTAACACTAGAATTGGAAGAGATGAAATGGTGCCTTTCGAAATGGTGCGTCCTTGTGACTTCGTGTTGCTAGCCACCTGGTTAGCTCCACCCAATTCATCTCGTACAAGGCCCTTGTGAGTCGTTAAAAATCATGCTGAGGACCAGAAGCTAAAACCTGGCCAGGTTATACACTAGAATGGAAAAGTTGAGGCACCTGCACAATTGCTCGAGCAACCGCTAAGTCACCCGACTCCGACTCGACACCAACAAATGACTGGGCTGCAACTGGGACAAGGCTGCTGGAGGCAGGGAAAGCAATGCTCATCGAGGTTTCAAAACGGGGCCCAGTCAAGTCCAAACCTCGATGGAACCAACTGGGACTTCCTCCAGATCACCAGGAACCTGAGTCCAGTGAATTGGAAAAAAAACCAGATGCCTGGCCAGCTGCCTTGCAGATCAGCTGGGAGCCCACACCAGACAGTCGTTGAGGTAGGCCAAAACATAAACCTCCATCACCGAAGATGAGCCACGACAACTTGAACCGAGAGTGTGAACGAAAGTGGAACCAGATTGAGGCAAAATGGGAGAACCTAAAAATGTAAGCTTGATCCCCTACCACAATATCTAGCCAATCCCTGACCCTTGAATGAATAGGGTTCATACCAGTATGCATCCTGGAGGTCCAGGAAAATCATCCAAAAATCTGCTTCAAAAATGACAGACCTGGGACGAAGTGATCATCCGGAAGGAAGGGCAAGGAATGCACTGGTTCAGCCACAAAAGATAGAGGTTGAACTGGAGGGCCTTAGATTCCAGTTTCGGGACTTGGAAGAAGGCGAGAAGAGAAAGCCTGCCTGGAAAGAACACCCCCCCCTCCCCGGAGGTGTAGTAACTGACCAACTTCATCGCAAGCCTCGAGAGCTGACCAGAAAAAACATGAATCGTGGGACTCAAAGGGGGTTAACTGCAAAAGGGCTGACACAACCCACAAAAGGGTGCCTTCTGAAAAGAGCAAGTATGGCATCAACTAGACGAAGAAGGACCGACTGCATGAGGTTCATTTGACCTGCCATCTAGCTCCACAGATGGTCTCTCGACCAACAACAGGCGACACTCTAGCTGTACCTGACTACCTTGAAAAATGAGAATGAGAGCTCTGAAAACAGAGGAGGCCCAAAACAAGTCAATAATCTGCAGCCGCCGAAGAGAATGACTACACAACAACATCCTCAAAAAAGAGGAGAGAAGAAAAGTGACAGACGACTAGAATAGCAAGATGCCATGTGAAGTCCAAAGAATGGGCCAACACAGTCTGTCAACATGTGAAGAACATGGCCACCAAGGTAGAAGTCGCCAACACCACCAATTCCAGGGCCATAAAAACAGCCGGGGTACCTCTAGGGCAACCAACTTGGCACACTGTCTAGACTGCTGCTATTGAGAAAACCCAATAAGTGAAGCAATCACTGCCTGTGAAACCTGAACCCAAATCTGGAGGGCCACAAAGGAGAACTATGTGGGGAGAGCAAACCCCCACAGGACTCAGGGTTGAAGGTGTTACCGACTGAACATGTAGGATGTTGGAAGCAGAGGTAACAGGGGGTTCAGGGGGAACATCCAGAGTATCACTGAACCCACAGGGAATTTCCAGGACCTATCTCGAGGTTATCTCGAGATGATTTCGGGGCTTAGCGTCCCCGTGGCCCGGTCCTTGACCAGGCCTCCTTTTTGTTACCCACCCCCAGGAAGCAGCCCGTAGCAGCTGTATAACTCCCAGGTACCTATTTACTGCTAGGTGATCAGGGGCATCAGGGATGAAAGAAACTCTGCCCATTTGTTTCTGCCTCCGCTGGGGATCGAACCCGAAACCTCAGGACTACGAATCCGAAGCGCTGGCCACTCGGCTGTCAGGCCCCTGTTTTCCCCTAAAGGGAAAACCCAGCAGAATGCCCTTCCTGATCACTATGGTGAACCTAAAAGTAAGTCAACACAACCTGGGCAATGTGGCTGAGAAGGCCAACCTTAGGGTGCTAAGAGAAGCACATAAATAATCAGTGTGTTTCATAAGCCAAAGTTGCATCCGACCCTAGTGAAGACAGAAGTGTCCTAAGACACCAGATTTCACCCTGGGCGAGGGCCACCATAAGCAGGAACGGGCAAACACCACCAGTTAGCTGAACAAGCAGAACACCGCAGCCAGCATGAACACCCCACTACATCTTCCATAGAACTGAGTTTGGGGATGCTGATTGGCAGTTGGCTATGTCTTCCCCCTTCCCCACAAATTTGTGGGGCAGATGGGGCGAATGAGCTCGCACTACTTCCAGGAGAATTTGATAGTGTGTTTAAATTGTTTGGAGAGTTCTTTCAGCTATTTTTGAGGCTTCCGTCTCTATTTAAGTCAGCAGCTGTTTTGATTTTCCCTGTGGGTGATGAAAGTAAATTTGACCCTCTGCCTGCGGCTCTTTGAGGAGACTAGGGGGTCTGGCGCTGGTCAGACGGCGCTGGCGCTGCAGCCAGTCTATAGAACACCATGGCTGATGCGACCTTGTAGAGGGTGCCATATCAGCATAGTACCTTCAAGGAGTCACAAGGGCCCCCAATAGAAATTACATACAGTTGTGACTGCAGTGGTGATTGTGGTAATGTAGTTGTGTTGGCAATAGTGATTGTGATTATGACGATGTGATGCGAGGGGTGATTATGGTTGTTGTGGCTGCAGTAATGTTTGAGGTTATGGGAGTTGTGACTGGTGATTGTGGTTATTGACATTGTAACTGCAGTTATAATTGTGGTTAAACTGTATAGTTGTGACTGGTGGTGGTGGCTGTGGTTATGTAGTTGTAACTGCATCAATAATTGCAGGTGTGGAAGTTGACTGCATTGGTCATAGTAGTCATATTAAGAAAACATTCAGTTTGTAAATTAGGTTCACAGGGAGTACTGTATATCTTAACACTGTTCTTACCTGCTTTTTACTGAGAGGTACTTTTGATGCAAAATGTCTTTGCTTCTCTTACAAAAATGTCTTGCTTTCTCTTCTCTTTGTTATTTGTAACTATTAATTATTATATAATTTGAATGTATGTTGATTTGTTGATAATGTTTCACATAAATAGACCATATTAAAAAAAATTCCTTGTTAGATGCAGGAGAAGAAGGAAGGATTAGAGCATGTAGCAGAGAAACAGCGCCTTCTGGAGGAACGGGAACAGTTGAGCCAAATGTTAGAGAGCGCGCGGGAGAAAGTATATTCTCTCCAAGCTTCTCTAAATTTAGTTGGGGCTAATACTACTCACGTTCAGGTACAAGCCTTTTCATGCTGTATATTAACACTTTCGCGCTTTCCGCAAAGGTCACTCAGCCAACCGAATGTGCGCGCAGCGTTTTTATCGCTTAAGCGTAAAAACAAAAATGTGTATACTCTTTTTACTCTTCTGACCTTAGTTCTCATGCTACGTATTTCATTTTGGTACCAACGTGTTCGCAATAAAATTCTCTAGAAGAATATCAGTAAAAAAAGTCACGAAACGTATAGGGATACCAGCACCAAATAAATAACTACGAAGATGACTCGCCGTGAGCGCCCATCAGCAACAAAATGTTTTTACTCTTGGGATTGTAATCACCTCCACACTTATTCTACAGCGTTAATTTTGGTATCAATGGACTCGCAATGAAATTCCCAACACGGTGATATGAATATAAGCGTAGAATAATGATGCGGCCCGCCCGCAAGAGTGTGGGAAGTTGTGAAATTGTTACCCGGTATCGGTGACGGGACGACGCACGGCGCTTTGAAAGTTTATACTTATTTCACTCTCATGACATTAATTTTCTATGTACGTCATTCATTTTTGTGTCAATGTGTTCGCAATAGAATGTTCTATGTGCCCATAGGTAAAAAATATCAACAAAGCGTAAGTTAGAATAGCGCCAAATATAAAACAACGCTGGAACATATCAGTGAGCGTCAAACACACACGAAATGTTTTTACTTTTGTTATGTTTGTCAAGTTTATACTTGTTGCACACAGTTATTTTTGGTTGTATATTGATCGGAATAAAATTCCCTAAACAGACATATGCATATAATACATGATATGGGGGAAGCATTACCAGTATAAACGGCTAAAGTCACCCACCTGCAACCCGTTTGGGACAAAATACCATTTGATCGAAGTTATCCACACCTTTCATGAACTTATTGTACCATGCAGCCTAGTGGTGAGAAAGAGAGCCTCATAGCGCGCAGTTTGAAACAAACCCAAAGTAAATCGGATAGAAATTGAATTTTATACAAATATTTTAAAAGAGGACTCAACTTTATGTCCACTATGCGTTAGCGTTAGACGAAACGGGACGCGCCGGCGCGTCCAGATAGCGCGAAAGTGTTAAGTATCTTTGCATTAGTTACAATTTCTTCAAGCAAAAATTATAGTAATTTTTTTCTTTTTCTAATAAATTTACTGCAAAAGAAAAACTTCTAATATTATGATGATAGACTTTAATCATTATTTTTGTATGTTCATTTAATTTCTCTTAAGCACAGTAGCACAACAGCACAATATCTACTTGTCATATCCACCAAGTTTTGTTTGTTGTAAAACCAGTATGTAGTACTTTGGCATACTCTCTTGTGCCTAATATGCATATGCGAAATCAAAAGCAAAAACCACTGCCAGTATTGGACCTATTCGTACAAGTGAAGGTTCATACACGGAGGATGACAAAGAAATTAGTGAAATCCTAAAAAAGCAGTATGAGGACATGTTTAGCACTCCAATAAACAACATGAAAGTGGAAGATCCAGACAATTTCTTTATGCGGGATATTCAAACCCCTGTAAATATAACTGATATCAACACGAGCGCACTAAATTTTGAAAGAGAAATTGAAAACATGCCCATGCACTTGGCCCCAGGTCCAGACTCATGGAATTCAATATTTATAAAGAAATGCAAAGTGCCGGTAGCACAGGCACTCAGCATAGTGTGGAGGAAGAGCTTGGACACGGGGGAGATACCAGATGCACTTAAAGTAGCAGACATAGCCCCTCTACACAAGGGAAGGAGCAAAGCATTGGCATAGAATTATAGACCAGTTGCACTAACATCGCACATCATAAAAGTATTTGAGAGAGTGATTAGGAGTCAGGTCACCAATTTCACGGACTAGTTGGTTCTTCAGGGTGGCCATTCTTGGCCTTCTTGGAAGGGTCGTGTCAGGGCTTGGGGTTCCGTAGGTCGGGAGGGGCCATTGGTGGCAGTTTCTGAGCCGGCGTTTCCTTCGGAGTTGACGTCATCTGGTCGGCGCAGTGATCACTCTGCTCGTCGGCTGGCTTCTTGTAAGGGGTGCTGGCCGTTTTGTGGTTTTACCCGTTGACGGTTCGATGGGCGGGGAAGGTTTGTGCAGTTTGCTCACGTCTGGTCCCACGATTTGTGGGCATTTCAGGCTGTTTCCTTCAGCCTGTGGTGGCATTAGGCAGCTCCTCCTCTTTTTGGAGGTTCGGGGCAGGCTTCATTCGTTGTGCTCCATTGGGTCATCTCGGAGTGGGTGCACTTGGGCGTGGTCGAAACAACCCCGTCCCTCAGGTGGGTTTCCTGCCTGTTTCCAGTGCTGAAACGGGACTGTGTGTATCTGTGGCTCATTCCCAGGTAACTTGGCAGTTGGGTCGAACAGTTGTGCGGGAGTCTGAACTTCACCGTGCTGGTTTACCTGCTGGTTCAGGTTTGGCTTCGATATTTGTTCTGGTTCCTTCAAGGACATCCCTTCCGCCTCTCTCACGATCACTGGGTTTGGGCTCGGGGGGGCCTTCTGCCGGCTGCTGCGTCACCGGTTTTCTGTTCGGGCTTTTTGGGGTTCAGTGCCTTGGTGCTTACCCCATGTGTTCACGGATGCGCCGTCTCTTGGCTGGGGCTTTGTGACCAGTGCTCACCAGGGCAGCCAGGGGCTGTGGGGTCAGTCCTTCTGTCGGGCTCACAGCACTGTGCGGGAGTTCGCAACGGTTTGGGTGTCGCTTCGGAGGGTTCGGGTCGCTCTGGGTTCAACCATCCAGCTCTATTCGAACTGTTCTCTGGTGGTTCATTGCCTAAATTGCATTGCCTTTGGTCCTTGCCTCTTTAGGGATGGTCGTTTCGAGTGGCTCGTTTGCTGGTTTCTTGGGGTTTGGCTCTCCGTGCAGTTTATATCTGGGGAGTGTCCAACATCCTCGTGGATGGCCTGTCTTGGTTCATTCCCCTGTCCACGGGATGGACGGTCGACACCGACTTCTTCAGTTGGCTCTGATGGACCTATGGGCTATTGGAGGTGGACCTCTTCTCGTCGGCGTGGTCGAGGCATCTGATACATGTGGTGACCTTCCTCGACTGTGGAGCCTTCGCGGTGGACACCTTTCGGCAGGACTGGTTGAGGTGGGGTTACCTGTACCCTCTTTTCCCTGGTACAGCTGTTGCTTTGGGTTCTGTCTTGTTGGAGTCTTAACCTAGGAGAGTCGTCCTATTGGCCCAGCCTTGGTTTCAGGCGCTGCTTGCTCAGTGTCCGAACACGGGGTGTCTTCCCCGTCTTCTCCTCCGCTCCTCGCGTCTGGTCTTTTTGATGTTGGTTTATTACCATTTGTATGTTGAGCAGGTAGCTTCATTGATGGTGTCCCACCTGAGAGCTTTATCTTGGCGACAGTATGAAGCTTCCTGGTGTTCTTTCCGCCATTTTCTCTCTTCGTATGTTGTCTTCTATTTCTGATCAAGTTGCCTTGGCCTTTCTTTCTTGGCTTTTTCAGGACCGTCATTTGATGCCAAATACTGTCGCCTCATATCCTGCATCGCTGGCAGAGCTGCTCCAGCTTGCCTTCAGGGTGGATGTTACTTCTGCCCCATTTAGTAAGGTTTTTCGTGCTTTTCTGGGGGGAGCCCCTACGGCTCCCCAGAGCTATCCAGGCTGATATGGATATCCCTAACTTTGGCATCAGTCGATGTGGGTGGAGTTCTAGGCCTACCAGGGATCACGAACCAGAACCTGGCCCCCCCCTCAGAGAGGCAAGAGGAGCAATGGCCTTTAGCAATGCACATGTGATTTTGGAGCATTGTATATCTGCCATTGACCGGGACAGGCACCCAGAAAGTTGAGCGCCCCAAATCAAACCCCTATTCTGGTTAAAAACAACAAAAATAGACAAACGAGTGGACAGAACTCCCCAAATGAAAATGAGCAAACAAGCATGATGTCACACGAGCCGTGCTGCATGTTTGCACAGCTTCCTCCTCCCTGGGAGGGTAAGGGGGGAGCCCCAGAGCCCCATGCCAGCGATCTACCCTGCAGTTCTGAGACTGCAGTTTGTTGTAGCCCCTTTAGTTCAAGTTTGTTTTTCCGAAACTCTTTCATGTTCATTTGCAGCCGTCTCATTCTTTCTGGCGAGGAATTAGTCTGCTGCTTTCTGGAGGGGTCCTTGGGTAGTTGATGCTTAGGTGGTCAGGTTGGGGGGTGGATCATGTGTTGTGTCCGATTGCGGCCCTCCGCTGTTATGTGCGCGCCACAACTTCTGTGTCCGGAAATGCGCTTTGGGTTCATCCGGTTTCCTTTCTTCCCTGTTTGTGGGTACGGGTCTCTCAGTCATCTGCAGGGTTATTAATTCTAGCCGGCCTGCGGTCTATTCCCGTACCCATGATGTTCATAAGTTTGCTGCTCTTACTGCCGTCTTTGGTAACATGTCCTGGGCTGACATTCTGGCACGGGGTTTTTGGCGGTCGAACAGGATCCTGGCTGCATGCTTCCTTACACACAGAAATTACAATAGCGTGATGCATCAAATGAACAAATTTGCAAGGGCCATGAACGGTAACGCTTCCTCGTTACCGTGCCTGGACCTAGTCTGGTCTGTGTCGCTTTGGGTTGGTGGCTGCAGCCTGGCTTGCCTTCGAGTTGAGATGGGGAGTACCGACTGCCTCCTAGGTAGGTCAAATTTCTTCTTTTTTTTTTTTTGTCTTTGGTAGCTGTAGGGGCTCCCCCCAGAATGTAATGAAACGCCATTTTCTGGGCGAGTCCCGAAGGCTCCTTGGCAACCTTCTTTCCCTCCGATCAGCGGTTTTCTCGTGTTTTGATATCCATCCTCAGAACTGCAGGGTGGATTGCCGGCGTGGGGGAATGGGGCTCCCCCTTCCCCCTCCCGAGGAGGGGGTGGGGGGAGCTACGCAGACATGCGGCACGGCTCGTTTGACTTCATGCTTGTTTGCTCGTTTTCATTTGGGGAGTTCTATCCACTCGTTTGTCTATTTTCGTTGTTTTTAACCAGAATAGGGGTTTGTTTTGGGGCACTTACCTTTCTGGGTGCCTGTCCCAGTCGATGCTAGATATAGAATGCTCCAAAACCACATGTGCATTTCTATAGGCCATTGCTCCTCATGCCTGTTTGAGGAGGTCAGGTTCTGCCTCGTGGTCCCTGGTAGGCCTAGAACTCCACCCACATCGACTGATGCCAAAGTTAGGGATATCCGTATCAGCCTGGATAGCTCCAGGGAGCCTCTAGAACTCGCATAGAAAATGGCGTTTCATTACATTCAACACTGGTGTTTTTCACCTCCAGCCTGCTCATGTGCCGCCTGAGCCGTCCTGGTCCTTGGACAAGGTGCTCTCCTATCTCTTTCCTCAGTTCGTGGTGGCCCCTTCGGTTCAAGATTGTTTTTCCAAGGCTGTTTTTCTGTTGGCATTGGCCTCTGGGGGTTGGGTTGGTGAGCTTCATGCTCTCCTCCGGCACAGGATTTTCTGCTCTTTCAGTCCGGGTAATCTGTTTGTTCGGTTGCAGCTTTCTCTTTCTCTTCTGGCAAGGAACGAGATGGCTGCTTTCCAGAGGGGTCCTTGGGACATTGATGCTTGATTGGTCAGGCCGGGGGTGCATCATGTATTGTGTCCGGTTGCGGCTCTTCACAGTTACCTGTGCGCCTCTGCTTCTGTAGCCGGGACACGCTTTGGGTTGATCTGGTTTCTCTCGTTCACTGTTCCAGGGCTTGGGTCTTTCAGGTCATCTGCAGGGTCATTAAGTCTAGCCAGCCTGCAGTCTATCCTTGTGCCTATGATGTTCGGAAGTTTGCTGCTTTGGCTGCCGTCTTCAGCAACGTCTCGGACTGATATTTAGGCGCGGATATTTTGGAGGTCGAACAGGGTCCTGGCCGCATGTTATTTGGACAATATTCCTGGTCCTAGGCGTTCGTGTGTGACTTTGAGGTCGCAGGTTGCAGCCAGTTGTCTCGCCTTCGAGTTGAGGAGCGTGTGTCAGCCGCCTCCTGGGTACGCCCCTCTATTCCTTATCATTGGTTATTTCCCTTTGGCTCCCTGGAGCCAAAGGGGCTTCCCACAGAAAGCCAGTGTTGAATGTAATGAAATGCCATTTTCTGGGTGAGCCTCGGAGGCTCCCTGGCACCCTCCCTCCCTCCGGTTGGCAGTACAGTACAGTACAGTATTTGCATTGTATTGATACTTACCCTCTGAACTGGAGTTGCTGGGTGGCCGGTGCAGGGGATCCAAGGCTTTCCCCCTTCCGGGAATGGGAGGGCTGCACGGATGAGCGACGCAGCGGCGAGGTGTGACGTTTCCTTGTTTGTTTGTTTCCTTGGAAATTGAGGAAGTTCTGCCTCTGTTCTTTTTTGGTTGCAATTTTCTTATCATGTGGGGGTCTGTTTTGTTATACCTACCTTTCTGGGTACCTAACCCCGGTTGATGGCAGATAAGGAAAGTCCCAACCACGGGCATTTTCCAGGGGCCATTGCTCCCTTTGTCTCTCTGAGGGGTGGGGGGCCAGGTTCTGGCTCATGGTCCCCATAGGCTGAACTCAAAGTGTTCAAGTGAACTCTTAACTAATGCCCTAGTCTAATGTATTGCATATTAGCCCGATAGCTCCAGGGAGCTTCTCGGACTCGCCCAGAAAATGGTGTTTCATTACATTCAATGCTGTTTTTTTTTATATCTGGAAAAGGATTGAGAGCTCCTTACAGCATGAACTTCAGCTGGACATTATACTCGGTTAGTTCTTGAGGTTGGCGTGTGTGTAATAGATGGAAAATTCTGTAGAAATTGTTTCCTTAACAAGATTTATATTTTTAGTGTGTGCATAGAATATGCAATACTTTCAGAATATTATGCATCATATCTTGATTTTCTGTTGCAGGTGGAAGTCTTGTCCAAACAACTAGCATCCATTGAACTTCGTGAGTTAAGGGAAAAGCAGAAGGCTGAACATGCTGTCATCATGTATCAAAATATGAAAAGTATGTAGCTGTCTTGTTAATTTTTATATTAATATATAATTTTTATAATTGTGTGCACAGTACTTTGGATGTGCTGTTCTCCTTTTGTCCACTTCCTTCCCAAGAGGTATGAACTATTTCATTGCTTCCTTACATTTCTGTATTTTGAGTGTCATCATCTCACTTGCTGGCTTTTCTTCCAATTTCAGTCTCCCACTGAACTGCCTGCAGATAAGCCTCTAACCCTCTTGTAGTCCTTTCTTCTGTATTCTTTCATGGTTTTATCCTGTTTTCAACACTGTTTGAGCTCTACAATGTAATTGAACACAATAACACAGTGATCACTTGTTCCTAGTGGTACCTCATTTTTTCTCTGCATCGTCTTCATTTTGGGTAAACGCCAAGTCCAGGGTTGCTGGTACGACACCTCTTTCTGTTGTTGGCTCCTTGATATTCTGCCACAGGAAGTGTTTGTCTGTATTTTTCACAAATGTTACCCTCCAGGCTTCATCTCCTGTGGAGATCCTTTGCTACCTACAGTTAGCAAACTGTAGGTAGTATCCGAGTGATTGTAACCTATCCACAGAGAGAAGCTGAAACTGAACCTTGTAGAGGCGAACCGTCTAAATGAGAGGGAACGAAGAAGAAACTAATTCTTTTTTTACGAAGTGATAGGGGTAAGCAGACGAGTAAAATGGTTCAAAAAAGGCATACCATCAAAATCGCTAGAGAAAGGGGTAGTGAAGAATAAGGAGAGAGGAAATGTGTTCCTGAAAATTATATACACCAACATAGATGGAGTGAGATTAAAGATACTGGAGTTAAGTGATGTAATACAGCTGCAGATGCCAGACATTGTTGCACTTACAGAAACGAAACTTGATGATGATATTTTAAATGAGGTCATATTCCCAAGGGGCTACTCAGTTTGGAGGCAGGATAGAAAAATGATTAAAGGCAGTGGCATTGCTGTGCTGGTGAAAGAACACCTTTCGAAATAATTTCATAAACGAAATAATGACTGCCAATCCATGAGAAGTCGACATAATAGCATCGTAGATCTGCAATCAGGATGATAAACTAATGATCATAAATGCATATAGTCCACCGCCATGCAACACATGGACAAAGGAGGAGTTGGATAATAAACGAGAGGGCCTTGTAATAATAATGAGAAAGATTATAGCAAGAGCAGATAAAGATAGATCACCACTGTTAGTAGTTGGCGACTTCAACTTGAAATCCATGAACTGGGAGGCATATGAAGCTAGAACAGAGGACTTTTGGACCTGTTGATTTGTAAACCTCATCTTGGAAACATTCATGTATCATGTTAAACTATCTATGAGGATGAGGGAAGGGATGTTGCCTCCATACTGGATATGTTACTTAACAGGAAAGAGGAAGAGATATTTGACATTCAGTACCTTCCTCCCTTGAGTAAAAGTGACCATGTCTTTTAGGGAATAAAGTATGCAATGCGTTATAACCTGGAAGAAAATAAGGAGGTTGAAGCAGTTGAAAAACCTGATTTCAGGAGAGAGCATAATGGGAACTTCGAAAATTCTTTACGGAATTTGACTGGAAAAACTTTGTTAGAAAATGAAGTAAATGAGATGTATGTCAAGTTTTGTGAAATAAAGGCACAAATTTTTTTTATACCAAAGCAGAGATGCAGAACTAGGAAACAGGACTGGATCAACAGAAATTGCGAGAGGGCCAGAGACCAAAAGACACAAAAATGGAATCAATATAGGAAGAGCTCAAACCCCCCAAACATACCAGCAATACAAAGATGCAGGAAACAACTACATGGCAGTAAGGAGAGAGGCAGAAAGAAATTTTGAAAAAAGGGATAGTGGACAAATGTAAAATAGAATCAGGCCTATTCTATAAATTCATAAACAACAAATTGCAGGTAAAGGATAATATTCAGAGGTTGAAAATGGGAAACAGATTCACAGAAAATGAAAGTGAAATGTGTGAAACATTTAATGTAAAGTTCCAAAGTGTGTTTGTATGAAACTAAATCTTCAGAGAACCAAACACAGTAAGAATTACAGAGAACAACATAGAGGTGTCTTGAGACAAAGTGAAAAAAATGCTCAAGGAACTAAGTAAGAACAAAGCAGTTGGCCCAGATGGAGTTTCACCATGGGTTCTGAGAGAATGTGCACCTGAGCTCAGCATTCCACTTTAACTGATTTTTTAGGCATCACACTGTACAGGAGTTGTAGCTGATGTGTGGAAAAAGGCTAACATAGTTCCAGTCTACAAAAGTGGCAGCAGGGAAGACCCCCTCAATTATAGACCTGTATCATTGACAAGTGTAATAGTCAAAATATTGGAAAAATAATTAAAACTAAGTGGGTAGAATACCTGGAGAAAAATTATATTATAACCAAATTGACAAAGAGGAATTCCTGAAACCAGCAACTTCAAAAGCAAGAGGATACCGATTCAAGCTAAGGAAACAAAGGTGTCGAAAAAATAGAAAATTTTCTTTTGCGAGCAGAGTGGTAGACGGTTGGAATAAGTTAAATGAGAAAGTGGTGGAGGCCAAAACCATCAGTAGTTTCAAAGCATTATACAACAGAGTACTGGGAAGACAGGACACTACAAACATAGCTCTCATCATCCAACTACACTTGGGTAATTACACTTGGGTAATTACATAATTTGTAGGTTGCATGTGACCTATTTTCTCCTGTTCCACATTCCACATTGTGTCATTTATTTTAATTGAATTTCACATGGCAAGTGTTGCTCCTTACTTATATTTTATCCAGGTAATCTTCCCTATTAGCTAAACATCATCAGCAAACATATATATAGGTCAAATAGGAAGTGCATTTCCCATTCAGAGCTCAAGCACCTAAACTTTGTCTACAGGGTGCATCACTTTGGTTGCATCCTAAGCTGGTTAGCTCTCTTTGGCAGCCTTATTGCATGCCATTTCTGCCTGAGATGGAACATGCTTTGCTAGTTTCCACCTTTGTCTTTGCATGTTTGTTTCTTTGTGGTGCTTTTATTAGGAATTTAATTGTCAGTCATGTGTGCCATTAAGTGAAATCTTATTATAAATACCTCCCATTCTCTCTTCTTTTGTACTGAGGTGGATTGTTTGTTTAATATTTTTTTAGGTTTAGTGTGTGCTTAATGAGATGTTGATTGTGGTGTTAAGCAATTGCATTTAAACTGTTGGGTGAATCAATTGACTGTTTACACTGAATAATGAATTATTTTAACAGGATAGATAAATCCTACTAGACACACACAAGGTTCATAAAATACTAAGAGGCATGAGTTATGAGGACAGGCTGCGTGAACTGTACCTCACGTCGCTGGAAGACAGAAGAGCTCGGGGAGACATGATCACCACATACAAAATTCTTGGGAATTGACAGGGTAGACAAGGATGGATTATTTAGCACGGGTGGTACACACACAAGGGGACACAGGTGGAAGCCGAGTACCCAAATGAATCAGAGACATTAGAAATAACTTTTTCAGCATCAGAGTAGTTAGTAAATGGAATGCACTAGGAAGCGATGTGGTGGAGGCTGACTCCATACACAGTTTCAAATGTAGATATGATAGAGCCCAGCAGGCTCAGGAATCTGTACATCAGTTGATTGACGGTTAAGAGGCGGGACCAAAGAGCCAAAGCTCAACCCCCACAAGCACAACTAGGTGAGTACTTATATAGGATGAGTGGCTATATTGTGGTTTGTTTTTCACATTTTGCATATAAAAATTAGATAGTGTTGGACAAAATTGTATAATTTTCACTGTACTTTTACTTTTAGGGGAATGCGAGGAGTTGCAGCATCGGGTGCAGGAGCTACAAAACATTGTTGATGCAACTTCCAAGATGAACTTGCTATTGCAGACCACCGAGACTGAGTTACGACAACAACTTCAAGGGGCCATTATGCAGGAGGAGTATGCCCAAACCACGAAGCAAATTCAGCAGCTTACTGATGAAAAGGTATGTGATTAGTCTAACAATCTTTTTAACTTACAGGGAGTAGAGTGAGCTTAACCTTTGCACTGCGCCAGCCAACGTGCGACCATGCTTCAGTTTACTAGCGTCACCTGCCTGGTGACGATTGCACTTGAATATTGTATTTGGGAGGGTGCCAGGAGGGATGGGGGAGGGGGGGACTGCATGAATGGATGGTGAGGCGAACTGGAAAGATGGATGGTGAGGGGACTGGATGGGTGGATGTTGAGGGGACTGGATGGGTGAATGTTGAGGGGACTGGATGGGTGGATGGATGGATGGTGGGGGAACTGGATGGAGCCAGTCGGCCGAGCGGACAGCACACTGGACTTGTGATCCTGTGGTCCCGGGTTCGATCCCGGGCACCGGCGAGAAACAATGGGCAGAGTTTCTTTCACCCTATGCCCCTGTTACCTAGCAGTAAAATAGGTACCTGGGTGTTAGTCAGCTGTCACGGGCTGCTTCCTGGGGGTGGAGGCCTGGTCGAGGACCAGGCCACGGGGACACTAAAGTCTCAAAATCATCTCAAGATAACCTCAAGCTGGTGAGGGAACTGGATGGATGGATGGATGGTGGGGGGGGGGGGACCTGATGGATGGCAGGTGAGTGGGACGGGGAGGCTGGGGGTGGGGTGGGGTGGGGGAGGACAGGAAAGAAAATCTTTTATAAACACCTGCCCTAGAATCATGTAAGGGAAGAACACATAGAGGGCGACTGTGTGGGCAGGTGATAATGGGTGGATGAGTAGCAGCCAGGCAGCAAAGTGGGTTGATAGGCGGGCAGCAGTGGTTGGGCAGGTGTCAGTGTGTGCAGGCGGGCAGAGTGGGCATAGTGAGCATGCAGGCAGCAGAACAAGTGGGTGGCTGATGGTAGACTTAAGGTGATGGGTGACAGATGGTAGACTAAGGAGGTGGGTGGCAGGGCAGGCACAGAGAGGGTGGGTAGCAGGGCAGTCTGGAGACAGTGGGTGGGCAGATGAGTAGCAGGATAGGTGGTAAGAGTGGATGGGTGGGTAGCACAGGCGGAGTCATGAGTAGGCGATCTTCCAGCTAGGACTAACACAGGAGCTGGTCATCCCCGGTCCCTCCCCAAGACCCCCCCCCATCCCCCACACAGGTCTCTCCCTGCTACCTCCATCCCCTCATCCCTCACACTGGCCTCCCCAGCTGTAACCCTCCCAGCCATAAGGATGGTATTAATATGGTGGGCTTCGTTGCTACCAGCTGATATTTTGGGAGGCAGACTTCCTGAGCACCTAACATTTAACTTATAGTTTGCTAACTGCCTGGTTGCGACTGTGAAAGCCTGATTGAATGTGAATGCCTTAATGACCGTGAATGCCTGAATGACCATGAATGCCTGAATGATTGTGAATGCGTGACTGACTAAATGCTTAATCGGTTGCTACCACAACAGTGAATGCTTGACTGCCTTTGGTTATTACTGCCTGTGACTGAGTCTTGACTGAATGCTTGACTGACATGTTGTGACTGTAACTGACTGGTTCTGACTGGCTGCCACATAACAGAGGCAGTGAAATGTGTGAAAGAAAAATCTGGAGCTAGTGATGCAGATATGAAAGCGTTTAAGGTGAGCAGGGGACAGTCTCTCCTCCTCCCCCTCCTCCTCACCCTTCCTTCCCAAGAGGTATGAACTATTCCATTGCTTCCTTGCATTTCTTTAACTTATGGTATAGTTAAAGACGGGTCTTCTCTCTTCCGTACCAATTATTAATACTTTGCATTTATTTAGTTTGAATTCCGGCAGCCATTTATCTGCCCATTCCTGAAGTTTGTTAAGGTCTGCAGGCGATGAGTCACAGTAACGTGGCTGAAGTATGTTGACCAATCCACACACTAGAAAATGAAGGGATGACGACATTTCGGTCCGTCCTGGACCATTCTCAAGTCGATTGTTAAGGTCTTCTTGCAGCATCCTAAAATCCTCTTCAGTTTTTACTCTCCTCATTAACTATGCATCTTTGCAAACATTGACATGTACAAGCTCACATTCTCTATAGGAACATTTACATAAATTAAAGATAGCAGTGGTCCTAGGACAGATCCCTGTGGAACACCACTTTCCACTCTCTCCAGCCTGTCATATTCTCTCTGACTATGACCCTTCATTTCCTATTCGTTAAGTACTCCCATACTCAGTCTAATGCCTTTCCTGTTATCCTTGCTTGCCTCCATTTTGTGTATTAATATTTTGTGAGGAACTGTGTCATAAGTTTTTGGCAGTCTAGGAAGATAGTGTACCCATGGAAGCTGGGAGCTCCCAGTGGTGCTGCCACAACTAAAATGGTTTGATCTAGCTATTAAGTGAATTGTATACAGAGTCTTTTGCTGCTTTAATTGTTTTTAGTTGTGAACCTTGCAGTTGTCTGCATTGCTTCTCTTACTTTCTGGATGTTTTCTTGTTGGGAGTCATTGTAGCAGTCCCCTGTTACATGTGCCTGTATGTGGGGCCCAGATTCTGGCGCTGGCCCCGATAAGCCATTCAGAACCCCAAAGACTGATGTGATTGATCAGTGTGGAGCTATCTCAGCAAGCTAGGTTCAGAGAGAGCCACAGAGTCCTACGAGAAAGAGGCATTTCATTACATTTAAATGCTGTTTTTTAAATCCATTTTTACAGTTTATTTAAGTAGTTTTAGAGAGCACAAAGCTGACAGCAATGTAGAGAATTGCCAGGATGAGGTTGTACTTTATTTGTGGATAATGTTAGATTTAATAAATCCCTTGGTGGTGAAACATTATTTGCAAATAGTCTGCTTTCGTCTTAATGGGTCTCCACCTATAATAAAGTAATTTTCATATTATGGCATTCCTCTTAATAATAAATTGATTACTGAAGTACAGAATGTTGTTTGACAGGTGCAGTTATCATCAGATATAAAGCGTCTACAAGCTCTAGTAGACGTGTTGAGTACCCAGATAAAACAGAAACAAATGGTTGAATCTATGACTCAAGCTGAAGTGGATCAATTAAGAAAAGAAAATCAGGACCTTGCTGCAATAAGTGATGAGCGCACTAAAATAGGTGAGGAAGTTCCTGTTTTTCATTTTCACTTCAGTATTATTATTACATGAATAATGTAGAGTGAAACCTAACATTATTGTTGTGACTAAAGATTTCACATCCATAAACAAAATTATTAATGGAGATACTGTACTGGATAGTATACAATATTTATATCTTTGGTACAAGAGCTGCTAAATGTAACAAAATACAGTGGTACCTTGGTTTACGAATGCCCCTCTTTACGAACTTTTTGGGTTACGAGCCCGATTTCTTAAAAAAATTTGAATCTGTTTACAAACTTTACCTCGGGATACGAGATTGTTGATATGTGTATGGCCGACCTAGTGCGTGGTGGCACAGTGATCGTGCCTCCTGCCTAGTGACTATCCCGCCTGAATTCTTTGCAAGGGTTTACAGTTTCTTTTTTGGGGTGGGGGGGGGGTGGGGGGGATTTTTGGCTATTTGAACATAAATGTTGTTATTATATATCTCGCCATGGGTCCCAAGAAAGCCAGTGGTTAGGTTCAAGGCAAAAAAACACATGTGAGAATGACCACAGAGGAAAAACAAGAGATCATTCGTAAACATGAAAATGGTTCACGTGTTGAACTAGCTAGGCAGTATAACAAATCTTCAGGGGAGGAGGAGGAGGCAGTAGAGGATGTCCCTTCCTCATTAATTAAGAAAATGTGTGCAGTATGGGAAGAACTGCAAAATTTTGCTGAAAAGAATCACCCAGGTAAAGCTTTAGCAGGCCGTTGCATTGATCTTATTAATGACTGTGTAATGTCTCGCTACAGACAAGTGTTACAAAGAAGGGAAAAACAATCTTCAAGAAAGACAATGAGAAAATCATGCAGTGAGCCAGAAGCAGGTCCAAGTGGTTTGCAGGCAAAACGTGCCAGAGAGTGTACCCCAGAGAAGTTCTCACTGCCTGATGTTTTAATGGAAGGGGACTTCCCTTCCAAACAGTAATACCTCTCCTCCTCCCTCCTCTCCCCTCCTCTCCCCTCCTCTCCCCTCCTCTCCCCTCCTCTCCCCTCCTCTCCCCTCCTCCTCCCTCCTCCTCCCTCCTCCTCCCTCCTCCCTCCTCTCCCCTCCTCCAACCCATCTTCCATACGTCAGCAGGAGTCATCAGTAAAGGTAAGTAATAACTTGTACATACTTTTGTAGTGAAGATTTGGGTGAATTAGGTATAAAATTTACTTTGAAGTTAATTTTTTGGGGAGTCAGGAATGGATTAATTCATTTCCCATTATTTCTTACGGGGAAATTCGCTTTGGTTTACGAATTTTTGGGTTACAAACAGTCTCTAGGAACGGATTAAATTCGTAAACCGAGGTACCCCTTTATATGGGCTATACTCCTCTTGATGTTTACATAATTTTGTTATAACCCGTCAGTAAATCATCGGTCACTGTGTAATTTTCAGGGTCGAATATATTTTTTCTTTGCACAAATAATAGACCTTTTTCTAGGGGGAGCCCCTTCGGCTCCCCGGAGCTATCCAAGCTGATATGTTTATCATTAGACTTTGGCATCAGTCAGTGTGTATAGAATTCTAGGCCTACCGGAGACCACAAGCCAGAACTTGGGGCCCCCCCCACCTCAGAGAGGCATGAGGAGCAATGGTCTATAGAATTGAACATGTGATTTGGAACATTCACTGTTTACCATCGACCGGGCCCAGGCACCCAGAAAGGTAAGCGCCTCAAAACAATCCCCTGTTCTGGTTAAAACAACGAAAATAGATAAACGCGTGGACAGAACTCCCCAAATAATAATGAGCAAACGAGCATGATGTCACACGAGCCGCGCCACATGTCTGCGCAGCTCCCAGGGGAAATGGGGAGCCCAAGACCCACAATGCCAGCGATCCAACCAGCAGTTCTTGGCTGATTTGATTGTGGCTCTTGTCATGTGGCTCCAGCTCCAGATTCTCTCCTGTTGTACTGTGCTTTGCTTTCAGTACTGCTCTTAAAGTGGGGTGCGAGCTGGAGGTAATATTCACAGGTACTCGGGCTGCATGTGCTTAGGGTTCCCTTCCCTGAGTGCTCTGTAAGTACCAACTTAGGGGTTTGTGGTTCTCTTCCACAGGTCACCTTGGGGTCTACCTCTGTAGTCTTTTGCTGCTTGGTGATTGACCGCCTCGAGTGTTGGGGGCTTTTCCTCCCTTGTTTACCTTGGGGTAAGTGGTAGTTTTTGCACTGGTTGGGCCGCGGGGTACTGCGTAGCTAGTTTTCACCTATTACAGCGGCTGGCTCTGTTCCTCCTGGGCACATAATTCTCTTGCGGGGTTTTTCTTTTGGTTTTGGTTTTGGCCTGGTAGGAGGGTCTGCCTTTGTGTCCCTTGCCCCTCCTGTTATGTTAGGGTTTGACCTCCTGTGTTCAGTTGTACACCCTGCTTAGCCCCCCGTGAGTAGATACGTCTCGGAGGTTCAACTTTAGCAGTTTGTTTGGTAGACTTGGGCCCCAGTTAGCAGTACCCCATCTGGGCTTACCGTTAGTGATACCAGTCTAGGGGCCCTGGGAATCCCCGCAGGGACACACGGGGTTCGATGGATGTGACCCTGGGTCTCCTCTTGCCTTGTGCGAGTTTAAGGGTTGCTCCGTCTCCCTTGTCTCAGGGTGACGCTCATTGTGTTTGCCTCCTTCGTGCTGCCTGTTGGGTTAGTGACACCTTCGACCCAGAGTCCTGCGAGCACTGTTGCTTGTTTGTAACTCAATTCACCCAATCTACTGATGACATTATTCTGGTGCAGGCAGCTCAAGCATTGCATGCTAGGTATAGGTTGCTGCAACGTTCTCAGTTGGTTGCTTCCCCAGATACCTTAAGGCTGCCCCGCTTTGCCTATAAGGACCCGGCTTCCTTGTCTCTCCCTCTGGCGGCATTGTTGCGGCTGCGGTCCTGCTTACGACTGTTTTGGAGGGCACCCGGGTCACACGTCTGTCGTTTGGGAGGCGGTGCGGGAGTCTGATCTTGGCCGTGTTAACCCAACGGGTCGGATCTGGCTTCGGCAGATGTTCTGGTTTCTTCGGGGGCATCCCATCCGCCGCTCTCGTGATCGCTGTGTTTGGATCCTACAGCGCAGGAGTTCGCGGTGGTGTGGCATTCGCTTCAGAGGGTTTGTGTTTCTCGTGGAGCAATGATCCGGCTCCATTCGGACTGCTCCCTGGTGGTTCATTGTCTGAACCGCGGGGGTTTGATGTGGTCCTTGGCTTTGTGGGGCTGGTCGGTTCAGGTGACTCGTTTACCGAGTTCTCAGGGTTTGGCTCTCCTGGCGGTTCATGTTCAGGGGGTTTGTGTCAAACATCCTGGCAGATGGCTGGTCTCGGTTCATTCCCCTATCATGGAATGGACGGTTGACACAGACTCGTTCAGTTGGCTCTGCCGGACGTACAGACACCTAGAGGTGGACCTCTTCGTATTGACTTGGTCAAGGCGTCTTCCAGTGTTTGTGGCGCCCTTCCTAGACTGCGAGGTCGTCAGGGTCGATGCCTTTCGGCTGGACTGGTCGAGTTGGGGGTTACCTGTACCTCTTCCCACTGGTTTGGTTGTTGCTTCGGGTTCTGGTTAGCTTAGAAAGACTTACCAAGGATGAGTAGTCCTGTTGGCTCTTAGGTGGCCGGCCCAGCCCTGGTTTCAGGCACTTTTAGCTCGATGTCCGAACCTGAGGGTCTTCCCGTGGCTCCACCTCTTTCAGCAGACCGGTCCATTCTGGTACGTGGCTGGTTCGATCTTCTCCGTTTCTCGCGTCTGTTTTTTTTAAGCGGGTTTATTATCACTTGTATGGTGATCAGGTGGCTTAGCTGGTGTCCCACCTGTGAGTTTCGTCTTGACGGCCGTATGAAATTTTCTGGCGGTCTTTTTGGTACTTATCTCTTTGTAGGTTGTTTTGTCCTTCTCTCTTGGTTGTTTCAAGACCGTCTTCTTATGCCAGATACTGTCGTCTCCTTTCGGGTGGCGCTGGTGGAGCCACTGCAGCTTGCATTTGGGGTAAATGTCACTTTTGCTCTGTTCTGCAAACTTTCTCAGGCATTGTTTTCACCTTCGGCCTGCTCATGTGCCGCCTGAGCTGTCCTGGTCATTGCACCGGGTGCTCTCTTCTCCCTTCTCCTCGGTTTGGGGTGGCCCCCTCGGTTCAGGACTGTTTTTCTACAGCTCATTTCTTGTTGGCATTGTTCCTCTGGGGGTCAGGTCAGAATGTTTCATGCTCTCCTCCGGCACAGGGGTTTCTGCTCTTTCGTTCCTTGTGGTCTTTTCTTCCTTTGCAGCCGTTTCCTTCTTTTCTGACGAAGAATGAGTTTGCTGCTTTCCGAGGGGGTCCTTGAGTTGTTGATGCTTGGTTGGTTCGGTCGGGGGGCACACCAGGTTTTATTTCTGTTTGTGGCTCTTTGCCGTTATTTGCGCGTTACGGCCTCTGTGGCAGAGGACACACTTTGGGTTGACCCAGTTTCCCTTCTTTCCTTTTCCAGGGCGCGGGTCTCCCAGGTTGTTCGCTGAATTATTTGGTCCAGCCAGCCTGGGGTCTTTCCCCGTGCCCACGCCATTCGTAAGTTCGTCATTCGGCTGCTGTTTGGTTATGTTCTGACCTATCTTTTGGGCACGGGGCTTTTGAAGCTCAAACAGGGTCCTGGCTGTACGTTACCTTGTTGATGTTCCTAGTCCTTCTCGGGCATGTATAGCCATAGGTCACAAGTTGCAGCCTGTTATCTCGACTGAGTTGAGGAGCGAGTGATGACTGCCTCCCGGGCGAGTCCCTTTTCTTCTTATCTTTGGTTAGGTAGCTCCGGGGAGCCGAAGGCGTTCTCCACAGGAAACCAGCGTTGAATGTAATGAAATGCCATTTTCTGGGTGAGACCTGGAGGCTCCCCGGCATCCCTCCTTCCCTCCAGATGGAGTTTTTTTGTGTTTTTGATACTCGGCCTCTGAACTGAGTTGCCTGCGTGGAGGTCTGGGAACCTCTCCATCCCCCTCCCGGGAAGGGGGGGGTTGTGCAGACGGATGCGCGGCAGTTGTGGTGACGTCATGTTTGTTTCCTTGTTTTTGATTGGGAGTTCTGTTTGCTAGTTTGACTTTCGGTTTGCAATTTTGTGGCCAGCAGTAGTTTGTTTTGAAATTCCTAACTTTCTGGGTGCCTGACCTGGTAGTTGGCAGACAAACACTGCTTCCAATTACACGGGGGTGTCCTTAGGCCATTGCTCCTCGTGCCTCTCTTGAGGGAGCCAGGTTCTGGCTCTGGTTCCCAGTAGGCTTAGAACTCCTTCAACTGACTGTTGCCACGGTCTAATATATATACACATCAGCCCAGTATAGCTCCGGGGAGCCTCCGAGTCTCACCCAGAAAATGGCATTTCATTACATTCAACTCTGGTTTTTTCAAGACAAATGGGGGGGAGGACACCTTTGACAAGCTGCTAGCTTCCTGTCCACATTGAGGCCACTAGTGTTAGTGGCCCTCAGGTAAATATAATTGTAGATTAATGTAATTTTTTGTTTCAGGCTTACTACATCAAGAGATTATCTTTCTAAAGGTCAAGAATTTGGAACTGATTGCTGAATTAGATGAGACAAAATCTGAGAGAGAAAAGCAAATAATAGAAATGTCAAGATTGAGTCAACAGTTACGTGATAGAGAGCGACTTCTAGAAACTTCAGCAGATACTAGTCGTGCAAGAGCTACAAGATTATATATCATCATCAGGGATCTAAGGTGTGTATAGAAATCTGAAAAGTAAAATAATTTTCTCTGAACTGCTTGAAAGGATTTTCCATTTGCTTCAAGCATACTTTGGAAGGCAGTGGTGAACTTTTTGCTGACGCATCTCACGTCAGCGAGCTGCTCTCTCCAGGCTTTAGATTCACCTTGGCCACTAACCCTTTTCACTGCTTCCTCGTTTTCATCCCTCCTTCCTCAGGAAAAAGGAGGGATGTAGCAGAGGCTACTACTTTTCAACCCCTTTGTCATGTTCACTTGCTGAGAGGTTCTGAACCTACCTGTGGTTGAGTGGGAGAGGCATCCAGTGGAGTCTAATTCTTGGGTCTTAACACTGCCTCCTTTGTTTGCCTTTTCTAATCTACATCTTTCTTGACCATTGTTGAATTCTTCTCGGGTCTTCACTCTGGCCCCCTCATGGTTCGCCTCTTTGATGATGCTGTTGGAAGGGGAGGATTTCTGGCCCGTTTTGCCTTTTGCTGATGTGTGGAATTCCAGGTCATCTCTCAGGCTCTCCAGTGGCATTGGTCCACTCTCCCTCATCTGAGTTCTGGGGTCTTGAGTCAGGAAGCTTCTCCTCGGCTCCAGTCAGTCATCACAACACGGTTGGACTCTGGTCTTGTCAAGTTAAACCCTCTTTGGTGGGTTGTCCCAGTTGCTCCTAGTCTCCAAGCAGGACTTGGTGGACCTACATTACATTATCATTCTTTCATGTTTGAATAGTTTCATTCCTTGTCTCCTTTTGTATGACCACTTTAACTCGGGTTCTGTGGAGCCTTCATCCCCCAATCGATCAATAGTTATGTGAATGCCTCAGTCCTATGTTGAGGTTTTGTGACCAGTACTCACCAGGCTTCCTAGAATCATTCATTGGGTTCCCTCCTTTGGGTGCAAAGTACAGTGTGTAGGTTTGCAGCTGTGTAGCAGGCCCTGCAGAGAGTTTGTCTTCCTTTGGGTACAATTCTCTGGCTCCATTCTGACTCCATTCCATTCTCCAGTGGTTCATTCTCTGAATCACTTTAGTACTTCTTTCTTTGGAGCTGGACTGTGTGAGTGGCTTGGCTTCTGGACTCTTGGAGTTTGGTTCATATGCAGGGAGTATCCTGTGTTCTTGTAGACAGTTTCTCTTGGTTCTGTCCCATTTCCATAGAGTGGACTGTCAATGTCCACTCAAGTGTTAAGTTATCCCAAGATGGCCTTCTTCATGTTAGCTTGGAACTGGTGGCTTCCGTCTTGCGTACTCTAGTACTTGGGTATCTCTAGTAACCCTTCCTAGTACTCTGTCATATGACACTTTGAAACTACTGATGGTTTTGGTGTTAACTGCCTTCTTATTTCAATTGTTCCGAATGTCTATCACTGTTTGTAAAGGAGAACTTTCTAATATTTTTTGGTACATGTACCTTTGTTTCCTTAACTTGAATTTTTGACCTCCTGTTCTTGAAGTTGGAGGTTTCAAGAATTCCTGTCAGTTTTGTTGATTCCTTTTACTTTTTGTATGTAGGGATCATATCACTTCTTCTTGTATCTTCTAGCTTTGGCATATTCAACGCTTCCAGATTCTCCTCATAGCTTATATTTTTTTCAGTTCCTAAAGTCATTTAGTAGCCTGTCTTTGCACCTCTTCCAGTTTATTGACCATACAATCATGGTCTTCAGTAAACATGGCGAGGAGTTTAGCAGTATGCTCCAAGAGGAAGGAGAAAAAAAAGAGAACTCGACAAATGCTAGGAATTAATTGAAAATACATATGACAAACTTGAAATTAAGGTGCGCATAGGTTGTGTCGATCAAAATCATTTGGAATTTTAAGATTGGTATGAGAGAATCTAATGTAAATAGTACACCAGGAGCTTAGGTCTCATTTTGTTACTACATGAAAGTAATATCAATATGGCAATTAAATATGAATATAGTATATAAAATAATTATATATGTACATAAATCAGTACTTAATCAAATTATTTGTTTACTTTTTACAGACAGCAGTATACAGGAGCTGTGCCCCTCTCACAACAGGAGCGACACGTAGAGCTTATGGAATCATTAAGGCAAGATAGGAATGCATTACAGGTGGCACTTCAGAGTGCCCAGCATGACAAGATGGAGTCTAAAATTGCTCTAAGGCAACTGAAAGTAAAGCAAGAGGCTCTAGATGACTTGAAGATGGCACTTTCTTCTCCCAAATCATCTACACATGTTACTAATTGGGGCAGTAAGCTTGAGGAATCCAGACTCAAGATTGTTGAATTAGAGGAAAAGGTTCAATCACTTGATGAGAATCTAGCCTTAAGTCAAGCACGATTAGAAAATAAAGAGAGGAGAATAGGAGAGTTACAGACACAGCTTATTGGACTGGAGAAACAATGGGTAGATGAGCAGCTGTTGTGGGATGAAAGAGAAGCCGAGTTAACTAATGCCCTTGAGAAACATGAGTTAAGGCTTAAAGGTGCAGTCTTGGACTTGGATACTCTAAACATTCATGACGTTCCTGATGACTCGCTCACTATATCAAAACGACTCGAGCAGACACAAGATCTGTTGCGCAATAAAGTGACATTATTGGAAAGAGCTGAAAGAGAAATAGAAAAATATAGAAATGAGGCTCAAACTATCCAAGAGAGTTTAAGAGAAAAGGAAATAGCAGTTCTAGCCAGAGATAAAATCATTAATGAAATGAAAATAATGGGGAGCAATTTCAAAGGTTCACCAATTCTGTCAGAGGCAGCACAAGATTTAACAGATAAAGAGCAACCCAAGTTAGTGACACCTGAAGAAGAAAGTATAAAGGTTATGATTGATGGCTTAAAGGAGCGTCTACGTATGAGTCACGATACAGTAAATCACTACCAAGATCTGTTAGCTAAAGCACATGAAGAGAAACTAAATCTTTGTGCTCAAAATAAGGATGAATTAATCCAGTTAACTCAAGAACGTGAAGCGGCATTTTCAAAAGTACGTGAATTGCAGTCCCAGCTGGACTGTATTCCAACACGTGATCATAGTTCAAGAGCATTAACTGAAGCTCAAGCAGTACAAATTCAGAATTTAGAAGAAACTACCAAAAGAATTGAAATGCAGTTAGTTCAGACCAAAAGTCAGTTAGCTGCAGCTGAAAGAAAGGCAGCACAGTTAGAACATGATTTAGCAATTGCTCATCGTGAACATGCAGAAGAAAAAGAACACTTGGAAGTCTCTAGTCAAGTGCGTGTACAACAGCATCAACGTGAGGTAGATAGACTTAATGCAGAGTTGTATAAAGCACGTTATGAAAGAGATGAGCTATGTAAGGAGGCAGCCCTTCTTAAAGAATCTGCCAGTCGTACACCATCTGTCATCTTGCGAACTTTGGTAGAAAAATTGCGTGATCAACTAATTGAAAAGGACAAACAGGTCTCTAGACTTAACATTGCTGTGCAAGACATGAAGAAGAAGATATCTGAGAACAAAGTGACAAACGAAGAGATGGACCAAGCCATTATTGAAAAGGAAGTTTCTCAAGCCACCAGCAGGCTCAGTGAATCATTCAGAACAGAACTTGACAAACTTACAGCTGCCAAAGATAAACTAGAACAAAAACTGCATGAACAAAATATTTCATCAATTGCAGCAAAAGAAAAGAATAATGCAGAAATAGAAACTCTGAATGAGGAACTAAAGAGCTTAAAAGCAGGAAATCTGAAAATTGAAAGGCAGATGCTTCAACAAAAAAATGTTAATAATGCTCTTAAACAGAAACTTGAAGATTTAGAAGGAAAATCACCTGTAGCAATAGCCAGAGCAATTGAGAACCTACAAGTAAAGTTAAAAAAAATTGATGGTACTCAGGAAATAGAAGAGAGTGAAACTCGTAAAGCCAAGAGTCAAGAAAGACTTGTAAGGTGGGATGAGAGAAAGAAACTCCAAGGTATTATTGATAAATTAAAAGCAAAAGTGAAGGATCTGGAAATGGCACATAGTGTAAACATGAAAAAGCTAGAGACAAGTCAAGATCTTTTGAGCAGAGTTGAAAAAGAAAAGCTGTCATTGCAATTTAAGCTGAATAGTTTAAGTAAGGTTTCCACTGAAAGAATGTGTGGTGTATGTCTGAAAACTCTAAATCCAATGGAAAGAGGAACTGGAACCCTTAATCAAGAAAGATCTTCACCTGCGCATGGTACTCAGTCTCCCAGTAAGTTTACAAGGAAAAGCAGAATTAGTCCTTCTCCAGAAAGGACTCTTGTTAAGGTAGAAGTAGGTGATACTCAAGGATATGAACCAAAGAATCAGTCATTGCCAGGACCGCAGTGTGAAAAAGATGACAGTGAGGTAAGGTTTAGAATTCAACTGAAAAAAGCTTTAGAGGAGAAGCATAGCCTTGAAATTAGACTTAAAAGTGCTTTAGAAGAAGTTGCTGCTCTGAGAAATTGTGTACAAGAGAAAGAGGAAGAGGAAGAAAGACTAGTTGCTGCAAAGAGAAGTCCAGTGGCCCGACGTTTAGGTGGAGCAGCAGTGGTACTTGAGTATGAATCTCGGATAAGAACTCTAGAAGAAGATTTGCGACAGAAAACGCGTCTTCTTGGTCATGTAAAGCAAGTGGTCTGTGAAGCAGCTGCTAGAGAAGAAACCTTATTAGAAGAAAAAGGAACACTTCTTCAGAAAGTTGCTCTTTTAGAAAGTGTTACAGAGGATACTCCTGCTGCACGTCTTGTTCATGAATTAAGGCAGGCTAAGCTCACAGTCACAAGACTCCAAAGACTACTTGATCAAATTCAAGGTAACTCTTAATACTTTTATTCAGTAAATTTTTCTCTAGATTAGATGGCGAGTTAGACTGGAAAGGATTGGTTTTATTAAATACAAAATAATTTTAAATATTTCTGAATTACAGTACAGTAGACTGTATGTTTGAAAAAGTTTTAATTTATTGCACAAATCTCAGAATGTTGTACAAGGAGACTGGTAATGAGTGAATGGGAGTATTAAAGGTAAACTTGTGAAAGTGCTGACTGGTGAATGTAAGTGGAATTGCAAGTACACCTCTAGCTGTGCTCAAGAATGAACTTGACAAATATCTGTACATGATTTACTGCATCAGACTGCTAGTTGTGAGGACCAATAGCCTAATTCGCTTGGCTAAACCATGACTGGTTAGGTACCTGGCCTGTGGGAACACGGATCCCTTGAACTATTACCAGGTAGGCTTAATGTGAGTAATTGGAGAATGGCAAATTTTAGCAAATTGCTCCCTTTTAGCAGAAAGGGAGATTTTATTTTCCTGAATTTACCTGAGGGCCACTATACTCTAGTGGCCTTGATGAGGACAAGAAGCTGGCAGCTTGTCAAAGGTCTCCCCCATTTGTCCTGATGATTTTTTCAAGCTGGAGTTTTGGCATTTACAGCTTTGGCGGGTAGGCAGTTCCATGGGTTTATAACCCTGTGGGTGAAAAAGCATCTCCTGTTCTCAGTCCTACAATGTGGGTAGTTGAGCTTGAAACCGTTGCTCCTTGTTTGCACTACATCTGACCTTTTGAAGAAGTTGTCCAGATAAACATCCTCTAAATTGTTCAGTATTTTGAACGTTTCGAAGAGATCAGTCATATCATGTCTGTATTACAGTGTTGTTAGCCCTGTGGCCCTCAACCTGCCCTAGTATGCTATTTCTTTGTGTACTAGTTAAAAGATGTATGGATGTTAAGTCATTATGGAATAAATTATGGTAAAGAGGGAGAAAGTGCGCGAGATAAATGTGAATGCAGAAGTGCTAAAAGTGGTTAATATACTTAAATATATACCTAATAAGTGTGATGAAAAGCAATTTAACATTATAAGTTGAAAGTAGGGCATCAGGGATGGTAAAAAAAAAAAAAAAGATATGGTCTGAGAACTGCGAAGGAGTGATGGTAGTGGTGGGGGAGGGGGAAGGAGAGGTGTTAGTGTTTGGAAGGGAAGTCCCGTTCCATTATAACATCAGGTACTGATGACATTTCTGGGGTACTCTCTCTCTCCTACGATTTGCAGGCATACCACTAGGATCTGGTTGTGGCTCACTGCTTGCTTGTATTACTAAGAATCTGTCTAAAGACACTTGTTTTTCCCTACATTTTAACACTTGTCTGTAGTGAGACATCACATTGTCATTAAAAAGGTTAACACAATGGCCTGCTACACCTTAATCTGGGTGAGTTTTTTCAGCAAAACTTTGCAGTTCTTACCATAATTCACACATTTTCTTAATGAGGAAGGGACATCCTCTACTACCTCTACTCACAGCTATTTTCTTAGGTTGAACTTTACCACTGACTTTCTTGGGACCCATGGTGTGATATATAATAAGAACTTTTATGTTCAGATGCCAAAAAAGCAGAAAAAAACAATAAAATTATTCACAAAGAATTTGAGTGTGGTCGTCACTAGGTGGGATACACTGGTAAACTGAGCGTGCCTTGCCCCGCGCCCAGCAGAACCCACGTGCTTGTCGACCCATACATGTATCAACAGACTTGTAATGAGGCAAATCCCATACACTGAGTCAGATTTTATGAGGAAATTAACCTCGTATACCAAAAAATTTCTAAAGAGGGGCATTCATAAACAAAGATTCCACTGACAGGTATATGTTTTTTTGTTTTTAATATTGAATTTTACTTAAAAAATTTTTTTATCCATAGGCCTAAGAAAATCTGCTTGCAATTGAAGTTCTATTATTTCTTTGTTAATTCTTTATCTAGTAAATTTGGAATGTCAATTAATTTGATAGGGCAATATTCTGATCATATTAATTATATATAATGCCTTTCAAGTATTTGAAATTCTTTGGATAATACAGTATTATATATTTTTGTTAATAGTATTTCCTATATTGATGATGTATAGTACAGTATATTGAAAACATTAGCCCTGTAGTACTTTCAGTACAACATTCTGTATGTTGGAGAACAACAACAGTATTTTGGGGCGTATACCGTCTTGCTTTTGTAAAGGAGAATTTGTTACTTATTTTGTATACTAATTATTTGTAATATTACATATCGGTTCATAATGAGAGTTGCCAAGTGGTGAAAGGCAAATTCCGCCACATTATTATGAGAGTATATTATATCCGTCCAGTGTGTCATAGATAACTAGTCATCACATTAAAGACTGAAGCAAAATAAATTTATATTTGAAGCAAAACGGTTGATTTTTTCATCCTATTTTAGTATATATATATATAGTAGTAAAAATGTAATGTAAAGAGGAATTATGATACAATGAATATGAATGTAAAGAGGGATTATAATATAAATGATAGACAGTATATGCAAAGGGGTATTATGATAAAATACGGTGAATATAAATGTAAAGAGGAAATGATATATTGAATGAGAATGTAAAGAAGAACTATGATATAATGAATGAGACTGTAAAGAGGGACTGTGATAGTGAATATGAATGTAAAGAGGGGGACTATGATATGGTGTATAAATAATTTTGGGCTATGATATAATGAATACGAATAGAGGGGGACTGATTTAATGAACAAGACTATGAACAGGGTTACCTTTCCTCGAGATTGTTTTGGGGCTTAGCGTCCCTGTGGCCGGGGCCTCGACCATGGTTACTGGGTAATCTGTAATGTGCCATGTTGACATAGTCAACAACACTACATTAGTACCCACTTGATATCCACATGTCTCGAGTACTCGAGGCTGTTTACTTTATAGGTAATTGTTTCATTTAATAACATAGATGTACTGTATGTTAGTATTCCATTATTTTGTGATTATCTTTATTAATTTCTCAATTATGATATATACACTGTACTGCCAAAGAGGATAAAATTTGACTTTTGCTTGGTGGATGGTTGAGTTGGGGTGTTTCAAACTCCTTAGGGTACAAATGTAGGGTTAAAGCAATAATTATATTCTCATGGGATATAAGAGCATCATTCCCAAGGAATATATTAGCTGGCATGACTGAATTAATTTGGGAATGGATATATACACAAAGATGTACAGTACCTATCTTCTCAATGTATCATTCATTGTATATACACTGAAAGTTTACTAACACTTTTGCTAATTGCCTAAAATGCTTTGGGTAATAGTGGCTTCATTAGTATATGGGTCTCCTGTCCCCCTACAATTGTTCATTACTCTTTGTACAATGTTCTTTGTACACACATTCTTTTGAATAAATATTATTATTATTGTTATTATTACTATTGTCCTGGGCTCTGTTCAGGACTAAAGCATATTTGCTGGTAGGTCTGTAAGCTGTTGTAATGGCCTTTAATAGCCCTCCAACCACTAATTATTTACTTTTCCTGGACTTTAGAGTATTTGCACGTCCCCATTCTTCCAAGGTTTGGGGACTGGTTCAGTTTTTGTGTGGAGTGTCTCGATTGCCTCTCTCTACTTCTTCCTTTCAGTTTGGTCCTGGCTCCCTGCACTTCTACAGTTTTAATGTGGATCATGGTTTTCGTCTTTGTTAGGGTACGTGTCTTGGCCCATGCAGACAACGAGTCACAATAACGTGGCTGAAGATATGACGACCAAACCACACAGCAGAAGATGGAGAAGCGACGACATTTTGGTCCATCCTGGAGCATTATTGTCGTAGTTTCTCCATCTTCTGTGTGGTTTCGTTCCTCTTTGCCTTCCTCGACAAGTGGCTAGTTTGGGCACCCATCCAATTGGCTCGTCTGCAAGCAGGGGATTTGGTTCTTTCCCGATTGGCTAGGTTTGGATTCCTTGTTAACTGATGGAGTTCCAATTGGTTCCATTGTAGGTTCTGATATGGGTGGGTGTCATTTGGGTTTCTTGGGCAGCATCCCTGTTTCTTCTTTCAGCATCTCTTGGCTATTTGACTTCTCATATCTGTCTGGTGGTGAATTGTGACAGTTTCCCATCGGCTGTTCAAGCAGTTGCACGGGAGTTTGCACTTTGCTAGTGGTTTTTCTGCTGGGCAGGGTCTGGGTTCAATTGCTGTATCAATTTCTCTGGTGTCACCCCTTTTGCCTGCCTTGGGCCCATCTGGTTTGGACTCTGCCCTTTTGCAGCTTTTCTTCTTTGAGCTCTTTGGGATTAAGAACTGTCCACTTAATATAGCATCCCCAATACCATGAGCCTCTATTTTTTTAATCAGTCTTTCATGTGGCACTGTATCAAAAGTTTTGCTAAAGTCAAGGTACACAACATCACAATCCTTACCACTATCAACTGCCTCAACTATGCTGGAATAAAAAGCTAGCAAATTTGTTAAACATGAACGGCCATTTGTAAAACCATGTTGCGACTCGTTTATTAATTTATGTTTTTCTAGATGAAGACGAATTGTATTTGCAGTTATCGATTCAAGTAACTTTCCCACAATAGATGTTAGGTTAATTGGCCGATAGTTTGATGCAAGCGATCTATCTCCTTTCTTAAAAATTGGTACCACATTAGCTACCTTCCATGACTCTGGCACTCTACCTAACAATATTGATTTATTAAATATGGTAGACAGTGGCTCGGTAAGCTCCTCTTTGCATTCTTTAAGCACCCTGGCAAACACTTCATCCGGCCCTGGGAATTTGTTTGGTTTTAGTTTACTATTTGTTTAATTACATCCTCCCTGGTAACTGCTAAACTAGTCAACCTGTCCTCGTCCCCACCCACATATATTTGTTCGGCTGAAGGCATATTGTTAAGTTCCTCTTTAGTAAATACAGATATAAAATATTTATTAAAAATACTACTCATCTCCTCGTCATTATCCGTTATTTGCCCTGTCTCGGTTTTTAATGGACCTATCCTTTCCCTAGTCTTAGTTCGATATAACTGAAAAAACCCTTTAGGATTTGTCTTCGCTTGCCCAGCTATGCGAACTTCGTAGTTTCTTTTTGCTTTCCTTATCACTTTTTTAACATTACGGGCTCACCATAGCCCGTGCTACTTGGAACTTGTTCCGAGTAGCTGAATCTATAACAACATTTTTTAACATTTTGAACCAGTTGTACGAATTCCTGTTCTAAACTGACTTCCCCATTCTTAATCCTCTTGTACCATGCTCTCTTTTTATCTATATGGTTCTTCAGATCCTTTGTTATCCACTTTGGATCATTAGGATTCGATCTATTCAATTTATATGGTATACTACGTTCCTGGGCTTTGCTTAGAATATTTTTAAATAGGTTATATTTTGAATCCACATCGAAATCTCCTTTTCCATCACCTGTCGCTGGGTTCACGTCTCGCCCACACCCCATCCCCAAGACATTCCAATCTATTTGACCCAAAAAATTTCTTAGGCTATTGAAATCAGCTTTTCGAAAATCAGGCACTTTAACAGAATTTTCTCCTACAGATCTATTTCATTCTATGTTAAATCTGATTTCTTTATGATCACTGTTCCCTAGCTCACTCCCTATTTC